TACCTTCAATGAGCTGTTGAAGGCTCTCACTTCAAGTTCATTAATCTTCTTGCTGATAACTGAAGCTTTCCTAGAAGTCATGGTTGACAGTATTGGTTTAGTACTTGGTCCATCAACATTCAGGGCTTAGCAATACTGTCTGTCACAAACATTGTCAGATTGTGCATTGAGGAGTGTATACAAGCCTTGCAGAGTTAGGGTTTGGCCCAATGAGACACACAGACTGGTACTATCATGGAGCACTTGCTCGATGTGCATGGAGGTTGGATGACACTTCGTACACTTCCTACATGTCCCTCATTTTTGGCAATCCTTGCAAATGTCCCTGTTCCAAACATCCAAAGCAGAGACTTCCTTTCATGACAATATCCCTCCGAAACTGTAGTCTTTAGCAAATTGACAATCACATATATAACATGAAATATGGAATTAAATGTCACTTCCCTACACACCTACATACAATGTATGTATAATGCAGAAGACAATCTGTCAACGACCTAAATTATTCATTAATCCAAGACCCTTATAATGATCATAAGGGGCGGTCGGGTAGCCTAGTGGTTAAAGCGTTCGCTCGTAATGCTGAAGACCCGGGTTCAATTCCCAACATGGGTACAATGTGTGAAGCCCATTTCTGGTGTCCCACGTCGTGATATTGCTGGAATATTGCTAAAAGCAGCGTAAAACCATACTCACTCACTATAATGATCATCTACAGTGTTCCTCCAACTGGTTTTAGAAATCGATGTTTGTGACCAACCAGAGATAAGGGTCCTTATGGGTTCTCATTATATTTTAAAACGACAGTATATTACGGACACAGGAACCAAATTCTCAAGCTTCAATTCATATTTGTTAAAAAGATGTACGGCATGAAACATTTTGAACTCACTTTCTGCAATGTCCCATTTTTAGACTTGTGATACATTTAATAATTAAAAGTAAACATGTATACTGAAATGTTTTAAAATGTTTTGATTACATTGTGAGTGAACATGAAAAATGTTATATTTGTTGAATTGAATTGAATTGAACAGGTGAATTTTACAGAAGTAAGTTGAACGTCTTTCATTATGACGTCGCAACACAATATTGTATCCTGGCACCCCTTAGGTCCTCTATCTCCTGCCGAGTCACTTGTTTTGTTTAGTTTAGTCTTTCTTGTGACATTGTTATGGTGTGCTGCAGAGATGTGTGACCAGAATAAGGGAGTGCATTAGAAAAAAACTAGAATGTGTTTTACTCAAAAACATATGACTTCCCTCGCCTTATTTGGATACATTAGTTCCAGTTGTTACTGTAAATCTGTTGTTTCCATGGAAACAAAAAACATAAAATTTAGAAAGATTTGAAAATAGCAAAAGGCATCAGTGAAGCTGATGAGCAATGCATATGCCAAGTTTCATTGAAATATGTCAGACAGTTTTCAAGTTAAGACCTGGAAACAAACACTACCCTTGTTTGAGACTAAGTTGAACATGTTTCCATGGAAACATAAGAAAATAAAATTAGGAAATATTTCAAAATAGCAAAAGGCACCAGTTTAACTGATGAGCAATGCATATGCCAAGTTTCATTGAAATCTGTTGAAAAGTTTTCAAGTTATGGCTTCATTACAGTGCCTTTATAATATGTGATAATGTCAACACTCTAAATACTTTAGCATTTTATCAATGTCATGTCTTCAAGAGATCTGATCTCCCATTTGCCTGTATATACATCTACTGAGATAATGTCTACTGATAATGTCTACTGTGATAATGTGCACACTCTAAATATTTAATTTTATAAAACATGAACGCCAGAGAAGAAACAGTCTTGATTATCCACCAAAACAGATTCCATTGGGCGTAAAAGGCAAAATACCGGGTAGTGGTAAAAATGAATCATTTGGGAAAATGGATCACTGGGGAAAATGAATCACTGGGGAAAATGGATCACTGGGGAAAATGGATCACTGAACATCAGTGATGGCATCAGGTGTTCCTGACAAGGTAAGCCTGTCCTGCTCTACTGGTAGCACCCGCCATTCACACAATTTACATAAAAAAGTAAATATTTGTTGCCTGATGCCGGCAAGGAGTCATCCTGTCATGTGGCAGCAACCTAAAAACAAACAAGACAATCAACTGATCAATAGACCAGAAAATATAGTGACACGATAGCACCTTTCTTGTTTATTAACTAAAATTGATGTTAATTTTGAATTACGTCTGATGTGTTACAAGTGCAGAGATTCCAGCAATATATCAATGTCATTTTTTCAAGAGCAGGAGATGTGATCTTTAATCTGCCTGTATGTACATCTGGTCCATGTGTTACAATATTGTCAGATAAACTTTCTTATTCCTGAACAGAGGCATCATTGTCCATCTGAACAGTGAATGACCGATACGGAGAACGCTGTGCAGTGTGCTGTGCCAGGAATCTGCTGTGTGCATGTTGTATGTAATACCCACATGTGCAGTATTTTGTGATCATTAAAAATTCAATGTCAAATGCATTTGTATTCATGATCTTGTTGGTTCAAATCAGCATCATATATTGCAATAGAGTAATGTGAAACCACCCTGTGTATGCCTTTGTGTTTTAGAGCTATCTTTGTGGGGCTTTTTCCACCTGAAATAGTTTTGTAATCTTTTACATTGTTCTTGTTCATGTGTATATATATATTCAAGTCAATTGTGGTTTAATATTTTGTTCACATTGAGCTTGATATAACTTTAACTTTATGAACTATTTTTGTTTTTGTAACATATTTATGATTTATGGAAAGTACAATTATATATCTTATGAAAATTACTTCTGTGATTTCTAAGTGAGTGGCGTGTAAACCGTGACTTCAAACAGAGTGAGTGAGTGTGTATGGTTTTACGCCGCTTTTAGCATTATTCCAGCAATATCATGGCAGGTGACACCGGGAATGGGCTTCACACATTGTACCCATGTCGGGAATCGAACCCGGGTCTTCGGCGTGACAAGCGAACGCTTTAACCACTAGGTTACCCGACTGCCTCCGACTTCAAACAGAAGAAACACCAATGCCGTTAGATGATGACATGCAGTCAGCCACATCATAGAGCTCATCTGACAAACCAAAGCATTGTCCAGCATGCAACAAACGAGGGGGAATCCATCGTAGTATTTCTTCTTTGTTTAATGATGCATTCAGCAATATTCCAGATGTCACTGCAGCCTTAATCTATCACACAGTCCCTTGACCATATTATTTTCCAGCCCTTACTGAAATGCCATAGCCCTAAACAAAGTGTAGCAGGGCGTGGAGTCATCCTACAGATGACATCCTTACCTTGTCAGCTTGCTGACAGGGTTAACCTCTTTGCTCATGTGGACAAGACGTTCGACCTCGGATCAGAAGGTCCATGGTTCAAATCCCATCACGGACTCGAAAATTTTGTTGGCCGCTACATTGGCGCCCAACGTGGGGCTGAGCACGTTCATATTATATTTGAGCAAAATAAGCCTCAGTACCCTACAATGCGGCCCGGGGCGTGCCTTCTGTTGACGGGGGAGTATGTAGCAGGGCGTGGAGTCATCCTACAGATGACATCCTTACCTTGTCAGCTTGCTGACGGGGGTAACCTCTTTGGTCATATGGACAAGGTGTCTGGCCTCGGATCAGAAGGTCTGTGGTTCGAATCCAATCACAGGACTCGGAAATTTTATCGCCGCTACAAAAGCAAGTCTACATGTTCCACAGGTTCATCTCACTGGCACTCCTTTTCAATTTAAATGTAGCTGATTGGTATTAGCATATATTTTCAGAGACTAAGTGTGAGTCTACTGCAGCCTGTAAGTAATTGAGTCTGTCCAGACATTAATATCATGAGCATCAATCCACACAATTGGGATCGATGACATGCATCAACCAAGTCAGCGAGTCTGACCACTCGATCCCGTTAGTCGCCTCTTACGACAAGCATGGGTTGCTGAAGACCTATGATCCAGTCTGTGAAGATCCGGGGTAGAATAGGGCTTCAACAACTCATGTTTGCTGTAAAAGGTGACTATGCTTGTCGTAAGAAACTAACGGGATCGGGTGGTTAGGTTCGCTGACTTGGTTGATACATGTCAATGTATCCCAATTGTGTAGATCGATGCTCATGATATTAACCACTGGATTGTCTGGACATGATTATTTACAGACTGCCATCTTATAGCTGGAATATTGCTGAGTGCAGTGTTAAACAACAAAACAAACTGTCCTGAGACCCCCTTTTATACATGACAAGTCCTATATGACAAGCATAGGTTACTAGGCACCTATTCTCCCCTCGGGACCTAGGACAACAAACAGCGACTATTCCGAGTCGCATTAATATTGAGTTGCATTTTTTGCTAGGGGTCAGTAGTCACATTTATTTGGAGACGCATTAATTTCAAGATTTACAGTAGACATTTCTTATTTTATTTACATTGTAATAAAGAATGTTATGCATGCACACACCAAACCAGATACAGATCTGTACCACATCTTGGCCACCTGTTGGCTAAAAGTGCTGAGCTTGCTGTGCAAACCACCACCAGAGTCAGATCAGACCCTGGATTCCCTCCCAGGTAATAACAATACCTTCACAGTGTAGTATTTATACCAGCAACAAACAAGAAAAGGTGAGGTGAAATTGGGTTTAACGTCGCGTCCAAGATAATTGCACTTATATAGCGACGTGCATGTACGTGTGTGTTTGTGTGGCTGCTTGTACTAGTCCGGACTGATGCCGATTTATAGTACTAGCCCACTGAGATACCATGCCACAGTTTAACATGAATATCCCACTCAGACACAGTATACTGACTCCGAGCCAACCAGTCCTTGTTTTAGCCCCTTAATGCCGAGCGCCAGACAGGGTAACAACAAGTACCATCTTTAAACGTCTTTTGGTATGACGCGGCCGGGGATCGAACCCCGGACCTTCCGCTCACCAGGCGGACGCTCTACCACTAGTCCACGGAGGCGGTCTCACAAACAAGAAAAGAAATTGTTCATGATATTTTATTAAACGAACAAACATTTAAATAAAATAATCATTTTGTAAAAGCCTGCATAAAACATGCCATACGTATAGATCATAACATAACTGACAATGCACACACATAAAATTGTTTCAATTTAAATCGAAAAGGACAAAGTGAGTCCTGACCAAACATCTACTCCGGGATCATTCAAACTATCACACACTGTCCAACTGTCTAAATCTCAACTAGAGTCCCTGATCATTCAAACTATCACACACTGTTCAGCTGTCTAAATCTCAGCTAGAGTCCCGGATCATTCAAACTATCACAAACTGTTCAGCTGTCTAAATCTCAGCTAGAGTCCCGGATCATTCAAACTATCACACACTGTTCAGCTGTCTAAATCTCAACTAGAGTCTATCTTCACCAACAACAGCTACACCGGCACCATCAGTGTTACTCTCTGCTACACCCAGCCTTAGCATGTAATGGAGACCCAGATGTGTCGCTGTTGTAGATAAACCATGCATAACCCAGCTGAACACCACTGTACTTCTTTCTCGCTCCGGGCAATTATTCCACGCTAACACCTATACACACAAATTTGTTTCTGACAGGGAATCCTCACATGCTTAATCCACACACACCATATCATTTCTGAAATGTCTTCACAAATTCTTCAACAGGCATTTCTCTGGCTTTAACTTTGTTTTTCACCTCTTCTTTATTCCTGAGAGTGAAGACTACCGTGCGCATTGTCCTTCGGTAGTGGACATTAATCAGCCTCTTGCTCACATAGAACACTTCTCTCTCTATTGCCTCAGGAAGACTGTGGGACAGCTGAGAATCAATCAGAATGACATATTTAACATATCTCACAAGCTGCAATCCTAATTCTAAAATGCTTCCCTAAAAGATCAAAGGCGCTGACTGTACTTCATCCTGCGATAAAGTACACTTTGTGGGTTACGTTATAATAGACCCGCAACCAACGTCATGGCACTGTTCAAACTACCTCCCCCATGATCTAACGTATCCTTGGTAACATCGTTCTTTCATTACTGAGAGGCAAGATGGCACATCGACATCAAATTTCGGAGAAATAGTTTGTTTAAACTCGTCAAATATTTTAATATTATTTCCTGGAGAGAATTAAGGGCAATATCATAAACAGGACCCATAATGCGGTGTCCTGAGATCTTGTTTAGAAGTAGTGAGAGTGAAGATCTGATTTTAATGAGATTGATACTCTAAGCATGTGATGATGCTGAAGATGTTTGTTGTTTAACGCCGCACTCAGCAATATTCCAGCTATATGATGGCAGTCTGTAAATAATCAAGTCTGGATCAAACAATCCAGTGATTGACATCAGGAGCATCTGAGCACAATCAGTTACCTCTAGAGAAAGGGCGTCTGCGATGAAACGTTTTCCTGATGCTCTCATTTTTTCTGTCTTTGCATCACATTTCACTTCAATTTGTGGCCGATCAAGATGATCCTTGAAGTGACGCCTCCACTTGAGGTACACCCGTCGCGCTTCACTCGAAACTTGGTTATCTTCATGTTTGCGGAATCGATTTACAACTTTTCCTTGAAAAGTAAGAACAAACAGAAAAATAATTGATATACAACAATAATAACACAAAATTGACCGCTCAAAATCGTTTCCGCTAGATAGTTTGATAAAACAAAGTCATTTGTCCCTGACCTCATTTATGCAGACAATACATATAATGACAAAAAGAACAAGCTTCAATCAAATGGTTAAAAACATTGATATTTCATCTATTTCCGCAAGATAGTTTGAAAGGTTTAGCAAAGTGTTACAAACAAATGCTTGAATAGTTTGATTGGTTTAGCAAAATGCTAAAGACAAATGCTTGAATAAAAACATTGATATTTCATCTATTTTGGTAGACAACAAACTAGATCCTCACCTATTTTGGAGGACAACAAGACTAGATCCTCACCTATTTTGGAGGACAACACGACTAGATCCTCACCTATTTTGGAGGACAACACGACTAGATCCTCACCTATTTTGGAGGACAACACGACTAGATCCTCACCTATTTTGGTAGACAACAGGACTAGATCCTCACCTATTTTGGTAGACAACACGACTAGATCCTCACCTATTTTGGTAGACAACATGACTAGATCCTCACCTATTTTGGTAGACAACAGGACTAGATCCTCACCTATTTTGGTAGACAACAGGACTAGATCCTCACCTATTTTGGTAGACAACAGGACTAGATCCTAACGTATTTTGGTAGACAACAGGACTAGATCCTCACCTATTTTGGTAGACAACAGGACTAGATCCTCACCTATTTTGGTAGACAACAGGACTAGATCCTAACGTATTTTGGTAGACAACATGACTAGATCCTCACCTATTTTGGTAGACAACATGACTAGATCCTCACCTATTTTGGTAGACAACATGACTAGATCCTCACCTATTTTGGTAGACAACATGACTAGATCCTCACCTATTTTGGTAGACAACATGACTAGATCCTCACCTATTTTGGTAGACAACAGGACTAGATCCTCACCTATTTTGGTAGACAACAGGACTAGATCCTCACCTATTTTGGTAGACAACAGGACTAGATCCTCACCTATTTTGGTAGACAACACGACTAGATCCTCACCTATTTTGGTAGACAACATGACTAGATCCTCACCTATTTTGGTAGACAACAGGACTAGATCCTCACCTATTTTGGTAGACAACATGACTAGATCCTCACCTATTTTGGTAGACAACAAGACGTGTCTAGGGGGTATCTTCTTCCCAAGTTCCTTCAAACAGTCCACAAGAACATCCTTTGACTGATTTTCTAGTTTCAGCTTGTTCTTGAGACGCTGGATTTCCTCGATGACCACGACCCCCTGGAACAACAACAGGTTCAAGATGCAATAACTTGTCATGGTTTTCAACACTATTTGATTTGGTTGGACTGCTGGTTAAAATTGATGGTGCATTATGACACTTTCTGCCAAAATATGAGAAGCTTATTTCATATCAAGATGTGTCTTGATCATCACTTGACATGTGTCAAAATTAAAATGATATAAACATATACGTTATATGAAAATATATTGTTAAATACTACTTTCGAATAGTACATGCATTTGCATGAGTGATACGAAGCTATTGTTGATATACCGACACTCGGAATCCTCAGCCCGATAAGTGTTGAGATTTCATCATATTGAAACAATAAAGTGTAATACAGGAACATAGATGATAAATAACTGTACTTATCCACTCAGTAATGCCGAGTTGTTGTCGACACAGGCACTACAGACATCTACCCCATTCTAGAGAAAATGTGAAGAAAAAACCCATTCACAATCACAAGGTCTCAAATACGTTCTCGTCATCTCGAGACAGACTTCTACCTTTCATTAGCTCCACAAAATATAGCTCATGTGTAGCATCTATTATTCACGTGTAATCAATTGTATGCTGTGAATTTGGGGCCATGGCCTACATTCTTGCGAAATACACTACATATTAGTCCAGTGCTATATATGTCTAACGAGGCTAATGGCTTTGTTCGGTTTGTCTCATTCTCAAGATGCATAAGGTGATGTGTTAGTGTGACTCGATCGTTTCCGTTTTCACCTGCAAAGATTCAATTGTCGCCTGTCTAAACTGTTTTTTCTTCCCTGGGGAAGATTGTCCACCCTGTTTTCTCGTTCTGGTCACAAATTTGTCCATTATGAAAACAGGTCAATTTTATAAGTTGACTTGTCAGTTGCAACTGTAGCTTTGTTTACTGAGGGGAGGGAACTCCGGTTAACAACTTTTAAACCGGTATCCTGTCCTTCTGGCGACTGCACTGTACTGCGGCGATGGGCGCATGCGCTCTAGGCCATGCAAACCAGTCTATATCTATTTCGGAGTACTTCGGGTAATTTCGGGATTACCGAGTATTTTCAAAAGAGGGTTACCTCCCTTTCACCGCTGGCCACTGCTGCGACTCTTTGAGGTGCAATAGATTTGTCTTTTTCTTAGCCATACGGTCGATGGTCATATTACAATTGCATATTGAATGAAATAAATTTGAATATAAAACATGATTCTTTGAGTGATCCTTGGCTCAGATGTGCGTTCTTTTCCACATCGATCTTGTATAAAATTGTTTATGAATGGAATTTTACAACAGATCAAACGATAAGAATGTGGGAAAGAAAATCATTCTTTCTAAATATAATTCGACGTGTGAATTTTGTTATGGACCAAGAGCTATAACAAACATTAGGAAACTTAAACTTTTAGGGTGGGTGTTTTGTACGGCCTATATCTTTTTTAACTATGCACCCTAGCTTCACCAAACCTGCTACACACATTAACCACAATGAGTACTTGTGTCTTTGCTAGTTTGAAGATTCTGAACTTTTTAATTTTTGCCATTTCCATGGAAACATTAGAAACTTAAACTTTTAGTGTGGGTGTTTTGTACGGCCCATATCTTTTTAACTATGTATCCTAGCTTCATCAAGCTTGCTACACACATTTACCACAATGAGTACTTGTGCCTTTTGCTAGTTTGAAGATTCTTAATTTTTTTATTTTTGCCGTTTCAATAGAATCATGGTGTAACATAAATTTTGGGTAGAGTTTTTGTACGATCCATGTTTACAATATTATGTATCCTAGCTTCAGCAAACTTGCTACATTAACCAATATGATTGTTGTTTTTTTATCTTTTATAAGATTCTGAAAGTTTTCTCTTTTGCTTTTTTCATGGAAACATGATGGAATTTAGAAATTTTGATGACTGGTTTTGTATAGCTAATATATGTTCCAAAATTGTTTCCACTCATGTAGATCATCATAAGTATCTGTGCTTTGTGTTACTTTGAATTTATGAATTTTTTACCATATCTGTTAAGGCTAGATGGAAATTATTAATTTATTGATTTTCTTATATGATATTGTTCCATTTTTTATGTGTTTTTATATCAACAATTTTTGGTCCTTTTGATAATTCTTCTTATGTAACTCCTCAATCAAATTTTATTCAAAGGTGTTCATGGTGATCACCTTCCTCGTAGTGAACACTGGTAACATGGGAGATTTGGGGGGGGGGGGGGTCAATTGTCACTGGTACTCAATCTTAGTTTTTTAAACATTGAAGTTAAAATCAGTTAGAAATATGTAATATTTCATTAATTAATAAACTATTTACTATTTGTTGTTGACCAGCGGGGGGATAACGGGGTATGTGAGCTTTGCTCACTTCTTTCTTGTTTTGTTTGCACCCAGTGTCCATGGTTTTAAATAGATACATAAGGATCCGTTGCTGAGAGACACAAAAGAATGTGATTCAGCATCACCATCTGATACCCCCAACCCCAGCCTTGAGTGCCAATACTTTTTTGTGATATGAAAATATTTGAAACAGTCTAGGGGTCTACAAAATATTCTTTCCATAATTGTTGGTTGGTTGGTTGGTTGGTTTGTTGTTGAACGCTGCACTCAGCAATATTCCAGCTATATGACGGCGGTCTGTAATAATCGAGTCTGGACCAGACAATCCAGTGATTGACATCATGAGCATCGATCCATGCAATTGGCATCGATGACATGCATCAACCAAGTCAGCAAGCCTGACCACCCGATCCTGTTAGTTGCCTTTTACGACAAGCAGTCACCTTTTACGGCAAGCATGGGTTGCTGAAGACCTATTCTACCCCGGAATCTTCACGGGTCCCATAATTGTTAGAAAACTTGGTATGGGTGCTGTGATTTTATCGGTGAGTGTAGGTATCATGGTGGGTTAATGTGAGGTGTGGCAGGTATATGAAAATGTTCCAGCTATGGCCTCTATGTACATACTGAGTGTGTTATGGTATAGAAAGGACAAAGTGTTTCAGTCTCCATCTATTCACTTAATCCATATCCTGACTGCCAAAACACCTTAAAATATTCCAGAGTTAATTGAGTGTGGCCGCTAGTCTGGAATCAGAAGCTTAATGAGCTACACCAGTGGGGCCCTAATGAATTCCTGACTAATTATCAAACACCAGATTAACTAACAATATCTCATTTGCATCCAGGCATGACCTGCTGACCCTTGCCAAACGTTTTTTGAAGTCTCAAATCAACTGTGACCACTCATTATTGAATCCTTCATGCATGAATAACTTGTTAATCATGCGTTTCTCAAATTGCAACGATTACATACCCTCGGTTAGCCATAAATCACTGTATAGTGGTATTGGCAACTTGACATTTTTAAAAATATAGAATAGCATTCTAATGCCTTCACTTTTTTAAAAATGATTTAAGATAGGAATGTGTGTGTGGGTATGGTTTTATGCCGCTTTTAGCAATATTCCAGCAATATCACAGCTGGGGACACCAGAAATGGGCTTCACACATTGTATCCACTTCGGGAATCGAACCTGGGTCTTCGGCATGATGAGCTGACGCTTTAACTACTAGGCTACCCGACCGCCCCTTTAGATAGGAAATATTCCAATGTGGAAATAACCATTTTATGTACGAGTACAATTTAAACAAACCTCTCATTCATCTGATAACTCTAACACTGTTCAGCCCCTGTGGTGAGGTGAAATGGGGTTAACCTCGTGTTCAAGGTTATTGTACTCACATGGTGACGTACATGCAAATGTGTGTGTGTGTAGCTGCTTGTACTAGTCTGGAATAATGCTGATTTTATAGTGCTAGCCCACTGAGATACCATGCCAGTTTTTCACATGAATACCCCACTAAGACACAGTATACGGATACTGAGCCGACCAGTCCTTGTTTTAGCCCCTTAATGCCGGGTAACAACAAGTACCATATCTTAATGTCCTTCTGCACTCTGGGCAGACGCTCTACCAAAAGACCTCAGAGCAGTCTCAGCCCCTCTGTAACGATCAACCAGTCCAAACAAAAAAATAGCACACACAAATTTCAAAGCAACATTTTTAAATATCTGAAATATACCACAGTAACAATACATTAAATTGAATGGCTACATACTCATAGGATTCCTGTCCTTTTTTTTTATTCTTCCTTGTTCTTAACACCTTGAAGGAAAAATCGACAGATAAAGGTTGTCCACAACGACAGTACTGCACACAAACTGAGTACAAACCGTAGTCCCTTGAACCATGGTGGGTACCCAGGCACTACAGTGTCGAAATATGCAGACCCTGCAATACCAGCCATCACAGTGAACACAGACACAGGGTCTGGGAGGAGAAGTCCCGCCCACGCCACCAGAGAGGGGGTGACGCTGTAGCCCAAATTGAACCAGTCAGGTTTATGATAGCTCTCTTCAGGTACCACAAACCCCCATCGCACCCCTCCGAGAAAAGACAGAATGACAGCGCCATAGGCCAGCTGAGCAAAAGCAATCTGTGGCATGTACAGTTGTGACATGGTCATATACACTGGTGCTGACACAAAGGGAATTAAACCAGAAAATCCAAGAACTAAGGCCGGGACTGGGGATGATCTTAGTTCTTTTAAATTTGTCCACACGGTGAGAGCGCGGGTTTCTCTGTCTTCTGAAATGAATCGTTTCTGGATGCCAATTTCATGTGATTGTGTGTGCACACGGCTCCATGCTGGAACACAGAATGTAGACAAAAGGAATACACTTCTGTTGCAGAAAACAGCATTATTGTGTTGAAAACTCTTCAATCTTTGACAGTGTTGAAACACATTTGTGTGATGTGTGGACAGTGTTCTTGAAGCATATTCTGGGTCTGCTCTAACCAATCCATGAAAACGTCTTGCTGCTATATATCTGCAGCAGGCTAACTGTGTGACAGCAGGGAGTTCCCGGGAAGCTCTTTGTAAAGATGTCAACAGGAGTTTCATGATTGGTTGTATATGTAGGAACAGTTTCTTCCCTGAAAATTTGAGACAGGCATTAAATAACAATATTTGCATACATACCCAATGAAAGCCAGTAAGATGAATGCATGTACCAGAAAATGTATGAAATAGCATTACTCTTCATAAACTTATTTGCTTGATTGTATAATACCAATTGTTTCAATGGTGGTTTTTTTTATCTATTCTTGCTAACAGTTTCCAAATTATCTTTACTTACTAATATTAATTTTATTATATGCTATCTGCTATTCTTTGTTACGTAAAAATCAATAGTTCTAGCTGCCTTACAGGCTCCACATAGTAAGTGCAAATTTGAATGAAGATGAAACTTCACATGGCGAAGTTGCACTGCAATGACAATGCATTGATTACAGTTAGAAATGTTACACACGAAATAATTAAATGATATCATTCAATGCAGTCTTTACTGAAAGTGACAGGCCTATAAATAAGATATAACTTTCAACAACCTTGCCGAGGACTACCTCTCGGGAAACTTTACCGTTGATACTGTTGGTTATCTCCCTTTAGTATTTGACCTGAAAGTTAACCTTTTGCCCTACATTGAATTGACCAATGAATGCCACGATAACAATAGCAGTATAAAGATAAACCAATCACATGCCTTGTTACACACAAAAAAGTACGTCATTTGCATAGTCTCGCGCGAGATTGTTCGCTAACGAGAATCCGCTCGCAGTTTCGTTACTTGACGTCATTGGCAGTCGAGAGTTTCTACCCAGATGTCAGTGCGTGTTCCGATCCCGTACAATGTATGGACGTCCGCCATTCTGGTGGCACAGTCTACGAAGCTCTGCTGGCGCAACTCCCCTCACATAGGAGATTCTGGCCGGCCCCATGCAGTTCACTCCTCTTCAGATAAAAGAGAAACTTCTGAAGGCACTTGATGATCAAAATAATGTAAGATTTTTCACCTTTTCGAAGGTGAAAACAGATCACCATTTCGTACCTATGACCGACTTCGCTCAACAACGATGTCTGGTGCGAAGGAAATGGGTGATCAGTAAACAACGTTCAGCCTTGCAGTTTCGCGATATGTTTCATACCGTACATAAATCTACCTATCCTAGTGGTATGAATATGAATATTATTTCATATATCACATCTTATTTCAGTATTTGATCTCATTTAGCCGTTATAAAGTCCTGCTGAGTTCGCATTTCGGAGACGCAATCTCCCAAATTTGGCCTGATTGAATCCCTGTGAGTCTCTGTAACAGATTGTTTTTTATGCGAAGCACGGTGTTAGTAGCCAAATACTCTCTCAATTATATATTTTCTTTGCAAATTGCATTCATTTTTCAAAGTTGAAGTTTGTATTTCCCATCTGGGACTCTTTTGGGTAGTTGGACATGCAGATTTTACGAGATTCATAAACCCTGACTACCACGTCTGTGAACATGTGTTGCACGATGTTGCTTGAGTAGCGTTAGTTTGCCCATTTCTTATCACTCCGTGATACTTGATCGCATATTTTTTAGGAAATGGAGGATTTAGAATTAAAAATGAATATATTACATAAAATGGGGTTTTATTTTTTATTTTTTTTTATATGGAGAACATTGATTAGGGGGGAGGGGGAGAGATATTTTGTGATGGTCTGATATTTACCTAACATTTTTTAAGTTTTCAGCTCTGAACTTCTGATTGATAAAGGTCTTACTAATATGCACGCACTTAGTTTATTTTATATATCTTCAATACATGTAATATAATGGATTTTGTGAATATTTGTTTGCTTCCAATTACAGTGTAATATTATGATGGAAGTTACAAACAGTTGACAGAAAAATTGAAAGAATAATATTGCTTATTCATAGACTTAGGTGGATAAATCAGTCCATGTAATGGAAAAAGATAATTTGCTTTTTGCTGTGTTAAGGGAGACTTGCTCAGTGTTAGGTAGTTTACATTAGCAACTAGAATTATTGAAACTGTCTCATCGAATAGCAAGACATGACAACATGGATCAAGGCATTACAATAATGAAATGCCTCAACCAAGTCAGAAGCCTGACCACCTGATCCTGTTAGTCGCCTATAACGACAAGCATCGTCACCTCTTATGGCAAGCATGGATAGTTGAAGACCTATTTTCTATCCAGATCTTCATGGGTCTCCTATCTCAGAGCTCCAGATAAGCTGCGTATCTGCATAAAATATGCATCAGAAATGCAGAAATACTCAGTAAAATAAAATCCAAGTGTTTCAAATACGCAACGAACGTTACATATACGCTACAACAATAAAAATTATTGTGAAGTAACCCTGCGTATTCAATTAGCAAATCAGCAACGTATGAAATTATAAACGGGCATTCCGTCAACCTTGCCAAACTCCACGATGACAGTTACATCATGATCATTTGCCATCACACTTTCTTGTGGAAGTACTGTGGTATTTTTGAGTCCTATAAAGCTCTCGAACCCACCAGAACACCAGTTTGCAGGGACTAGATGAATAGTGTTTCTAAATATTTAACTTAAATACTAGTGGGTAACAGAAATTTGAATACCCAGATAGAATTACTGATACCCAATGATTTTAAAATGCATGGGTAAAATACCCACAACACCAAAAGCTTATCTGGAGATCTGTATCTACAGCAATTCTCAAACATCCTCAGTTTTTAGTTTCAAAATAAATAAGGTAGTCATAGAAGTAAGATGAGTAAGGTAGAATGACTAAGCTATTGTCAATGTTTTTATTGACTACAAAAATACCTTGTCAAATGCTAACAAAATGGTACAGAAAAGACATTGACTTGTTGGAGCCAGTAGTAAACAAGAGATGTTATTACTTTTCATTCAATATAAATGTTGCGAAATTGACATTTGAACAATAGTTATTTGTAAAATTTTGATTGTATTTTCTTCTGGTTTAAGATTGTACTTACATAATCCTATCACAGATAAGATAAGCTGTGACCACTGCCAGTGGTGGTGACTGACTATATGGGGCAGTTTGACTATTCCAATAGTATGTTGAGTACTGTGCTTAATGGATTTAAACACTGATGAGACAAGTTTTTTAAACTATCATAATTTCTAGATAATGCAAGATCTTGTTTCACTATCCAGTGTATACAAATGTTTTTAGGTTCTTTAAATCTGTGTGGTTGATTATGACAATGACACAATATTTTATCAGTGATTTTATTTTTCTGGCGACAAAATGGCATTTGGATATTTTGTGGATTTTTGTCAGTTTTTAGTTGGACATAGTGTTACATGTTCTATACATTACCAAATTTGATTAAAAGAATGTTAGGACATGTTGTGAGATAGTCAATGTTCTAGAAAATTAACCAAGAGCATGAAAGGCTAAAAAGTTACAATTCGCTGTTCAGAGTTGGCATGCCAGACCAATTTCTGGGTTCAAATTCTGATTCGTCCCTATTTTGTTTCTAGATATGTCAGCACCATGCCCATGCTCGTGTGTTTCCCCAAACTGGTAAACATCTGAGACCTGCATCACTTCGGCTTTCCTCCAACATTAAGCTGACATGTTGTGATATAACTGGAATACTGTTCAAGGCGGCATGAAATCCAACTCGTTTGAAAATGAACAAACCTGTAACCAACATTTCATGTTTATATGATCACATTCACAAGAAACAGAATTCATATCAACATGATTAAGATGTAAAGAGCCAGTGTGAATAATTCAAGTGGCCTAAATGTTCTTGTTCAAGCTTGTAGATATGAATCGAACAGATTGGAACTGTTGTCGGTCTCATGGGTAAAGCCTCAAATCTGTTTCCAGTTTCGATAGTCACAGTTTGACAGATATTGAGTTGATTCCATTGGTTTTCGACCCTTTAGTTTCATGTCCAGCTGCATGAAAAAAATTTGTGAACTATCTCCTTTCAAATTTCACAGGTCCCTTGGGCACGCCAGAAATCTATGATTGTGGGTTCAAATCTCGGTTCGCCCCGATTATGTTTCTAGGTTTGTCAGCACCATACCCGTGCCCGTGGGTTTCACCGAAGTGGTAAACGTCTGTGACCTGCATCACTTCGGGCTTTCCTCCCACATTAAGCTGACATGCCGCGATATAACTGGAATACTGTTAAAAGCGGCGTTAAACCAAACTCACTCACTCACTCAAATTTCACAGGCTGCATGATGCATTCTGTTATCGTGGTCAGCTGTCAAAAGCAACATTCTCTCTGACATAGCGTGCATCATATTGATTATTGATGTTGATTTGTCAGTGATTGTCAACACTAACTGCACTAGTATTACCAATATCTGTACCAGTTCTACAAGGGTGTTTCCGTGGCATTATCAGCACAAAGTCATACATGACTATTTACTAGGTTGAGTCAGCTGCTAAGAAGAATGTTATGATTATTGGGTTTGTCTAGGCTTAAAGGTGGGGTGGTCGGGTAGCCTAGTGGTTACGCTGAAGACCCAGGTTCGATTCCTGACATGGGTACAATGTGTGAAGCCCATTTCTGGTGTCGCCCCCGTGATATTGCTGGAATATTGCTAATACCATACTCTCTCAAAGCTTAAGGATACATCATATGTTCATAAAAGTTTCTTTGGATACATGTTACGGAGATTGCTATTTGAAGTTTTGAAACTATATTTACAAATATTTGTGCAACTGTAGCTTTTAACTTCTACTGGTGTTACATCCGCTACTTGTGGCTCGAAATTGGCCATTTGTCCAAAGCCTGAGTCTTTTAAAATTCTGTTCAGTCTTGCAAGCTCATCTTATAATAGTCCTCATGAGAACCATGATAACTCTAAAACTGAGAATGATTCCAAAAGCTATGTTTGGGCAAGAAGTCTTAAAAGCTTATGGATTTCTGGTGTTCGCCCTCCGTGATATTGCTGGAATATTGCTAAAAAGCGGCGTAAAGCCATGCTCACTCACTTAAAGCTTGTGGCACAGGCTGGTGGCATCAAACATGTGCTCTGTGTATTATGTTCCCCACAAAACTTGTCATGACTGGTGTATATTGTTTCAGGGGTAGTCAAGGTAACCAACTTTAGAAACATGTCCTCATTTAATTAGACGATTCCTGTTATTCAATCAATTTGTTTTTGTGAATTGGTAACTTTACTTGCCATCATGTCTTCTGAACGTATGTGTTAATGTCCAATGATGAAGGAATGTTGGGTGTGTTTTAGCATTTAGATTGTTTGATATACTCATAATCTAGAATTATGATTTGATAGTAACACATGTATATTGACATATGTACTATTCTTCCATACTATTCAATATTTAATAGAAATACCAGCAGTAGAAACAAACATTTTTAGTCCCTTTAGCATTTAGCGAAAGGTGTAAAAATGGCAAATTTAACTATTGGGCACTTTTGCAAGGACTACAGGTCTAGTGCCACTGAATACTGAAAATGGGATGTATGAAGCCCATTTCTGGTGTCCCCTGCCGTGATGTTACTGGAATATTGCTTAAAGCGGCGTAAATCCCAACTTGCTCACTGAAAATGGGAAGCAGTTTTGTCCCATCAGCAAAATTATTACATGTCGTGTAGTTTTTATCATGGACTACCACACACTGTCCATATTAAAAAGTATTGTAGTTCTCAGATGTTGTGAGACAAATGTCATTAGCACATTTTCATGTTTCAAGCAAATTGATAGGCCTTTCCTGAGTATCATCACCACATGAAAATATCTTTCCATTTTCCTAGAAGGTGAACCACTGAGAATATCTGATGATACTAGTGTCTGTCATTTCCGGTCAACTGTAATATGCCTATTTTTCAGGTACGTGATGCAGCGGCAGTGTTGGAGGTCATCTCCATACTGGAGCAATATCCCATCACTAGGGAGGCCTTGGAGGTAAGGGTATCACAGTAAAGGGGTATTCCAAGCTAACAAAGAAGCTGTTCAGGACGTATCCTAATACTGGCCACCATCAGTTGATTACATTTCTGACCGCCTCCGTGGTCTAGTGGTAGAGCGTCCGCCCGGAGAGCGGAAGGTCCGGGGTTCGATCCCCGGCCGCGTCTTACCAAAAGACGTTAAAAGATGGTACTTGTTGTTACCCTGTCTGGCGCTGGGCATTAAGGGGCTAAAACAAGGACTGGTCGGCTCGGAGTCAGTATACTGTGTCTGAGTGGGATATTCATGCTAAACTGCGGCATGGTATCTCAGTGAGCTAGCACTATAAATCGGCATCAGTCCGGACTAGTACCAGCAGCCACACAAACACACACACGTACATGCACGTCGCTATATAAGTGCAATAATCTTGGACGCGACATTAACCCTATTTCACCTGACCTGATTACATTTCTCTCCCTTTAAGACAACTTTAGTAGCTTGTTTAGTAAATAAATTGCTTTTTGAAAGATATTTGCTGTTTTATAAAATGCACTTTAATGATTGATTATGCACAAATATTTGCTATCTTGCAGCAAACAAGAATTGGAAAGCATATTAATGAACTTAGGAAGAAAACAACAAATGAACAGTTGGCAAAGAGGGCCAAGAAGCTGGTGCGCAACTGGCAGAAACTCCTTAACCCTGATCCTGATGTTAAACAAGCAGTTAATGGAGAACGGGTAGTTACCCCACCCCAGCATAGGGGTGTGGCGGCTCTACAGGGGACAGGTCGGCAAGGTGGCATCTCCTCTCCTGCACTTTCTCACAGGGACTCTATTGCAGGCAGAAAGTGCATGTCTCCAGCTCTGGCTGGGGGCAAGCCTCTCACACCACAGATAGCTAAAGGGAGCCCTCGTGCTTGCAATTCCCCTGCCCTCAGGGGAGGCAAACCTGCCACCCCAACATTACAGGCCTCTCGTCTCAGTCCAGGCCTAAAAAGCACTCCCTCCAGTGGTAAGCCATCCACTCCATCCCTACAAACTGCTCGCAGTAGCCCTGGACTAATGGGCAGGACATCTCAAGCTTTAAGTGGTGGAAGATCCACTACACCAACCCTCTCCCACCTTACCCTAGGGTCCCGAGCATCTCCAGTACTTGGCAACAACTCCCGCAGCAACAGCCCAGCACTCAAGCATGCCTCCATGGACTCTCCACACTCTTCTAGCCTCAACACCAAGAACACCAACAGTCCAAAAACTCGTTCACCAAAACCAGAACGTTCCTCGGCATCATTGGGAGGCCGTCCAGCAACCCCAAGTAGTCGTGCCCATACTCCTTGTTTAGGTTCTCGCCCTGTAACACCAAGTAATAACGAGGACTCAAACTCAAGTTGGCCAAACACGCCATTGTCAGGAGTGCACTATGATCAAGAGAAGAATAATTCAAATTCTAAATTCAAGGGCAAAGGAAAGAGTGAATCGGACAAGGACAGTTCAGAAGTGTTCGCACGTAAATCAAATCATTCCACTGAGTTTTCAGTTTCGAATTCTAGTGATAAAGGCTCAAGAAAGGATCAAAGTGACATTTCAAAAACAAATGTTGCAAATAGAAAAAGGACACGAACCAAAAGCCCAGAAAGTGTGCCTAAGAAACAGCCAAAAACTGACAATTCAAGTCTTTCAAAAGATAAGAGGGATCCTACAATAAATGGGGTTGTAGGCTTTCATAAACATCACAAGGGCGATAAAGTGGACCCTGATAGATCAAATAGTGCTACATCGTTAACTTATTCCAGGGGCTGCAGGGAGTTGTCACCTGTTTCCCCAGTTGATACAACTGATGCATCTCGTCATCATATATCAAAGAAACATTTAAATTCAAAATCTGACTCTGCAAAGGCTTCAAAACCCCCTAAGGTCAAAACCACCGCTGAGTTGATTGATGAGCTTCAAAAAAGGACTGGTAGTACCAGCTATGGTAATGATATCATGAATAAACTTAAGAGCAATCAGATAGAAAAAGAGGTGGATGCACCTCGTTCTGTGTTGCCACCTGGTGTGAAACGACCAAAGAAACGTGTCAGTATGAGTAGTGAGAACCTTGCTCTTCTAGATGCTCCATCATCAATGTCACTCAGCGAGACAAAGAATGAGATGGTTCATAAGTTCCTCCAATCCTCAGTCAACCAATCATCTGACCAACTCAGTCCATTTAAAGGTGATCGTTTGAATAAGTATGAATCTCCAATGAATTCCTCGCATTCATTTGGAGAAGCCCATCATGATAGCTTGGGTGACTCCATCAGTGTTAATGCAGATCATCATGCACGTTTCTCGAACAGCGAGGTTAAAACTGAAAATGGTATTGAAGCCAAAATGGCAGAGAAGCAATTAAGTGTTGAAGAAATACTAAGACTGTTGCCTCCCCTTGATGCAGAGAGCATTGATTGGGAGTCTCATGAATATTCATTAAGTGAAGCCACAGCAGGAAAAGAATGTGAAGTGGAACGTTTGCACTCCCAGGAGTGGGACAATGTGAATGGATGTTATGATGTGGATGGGGTGTGGCATGATTGGTCACAGACTTTGTCTCGTTCAGCATATGATGGTACTCTACTGCACATCTTGCCCTATGTCAATATAGATGACTGATTATGTAACAGTGCTGCCTTTTTATATACCCTCACCTCTCCCGACTTGAAACCCGTTGACTTTGTTGTACTTGTTTGTGTGGATTGTTGGCCAAAATCATGCATATCAGTTTAGGGTGACTTTTTGTTCATCTTCATCTGTAGGTTCTCTTTTGGGTATGACCATGGACAAAAATAACCTTCCCTAATGCATTCCATGTCTGTTTCAAGGGAGGATAATGATACATGATGCGAGTCACAACCAAACAGTATCTGTTCTGTGCACAGCTGTCTACTTTTCACCATTTTCTTTTCAATAATATGACACCACTGTTGTAAACTGTTCAAGAATATGTTCATGTTGATCTGCAAATGAAAACTCAGGATTGTCACAGGTACGAATACAGATCAAGTCTGATCCTTTGTTCCCGTGTTATAGAAGGAAGGTTCACAAGTTATATTTATTTTTTAATTTTATGTGAATATAGCAATCTTTGAGAGTAATTATAGCCAAAGACATAAGAAATTGAAATCCGTTATGATCTTGAACTTACTGACTCTTGCTTTTGACTTGTCCAGTGATACTATGAGTTGTCATGGCACAGAACTTTTGTAACTAAAAATAATTTTTACTCCTCATTGCACAAACAACTTAAGAGCAGGATATTTTCAAGTAGCAGCATTCAAATTTCAAATTTGATTCAGTCTAGTAGTTGTCACTAAAAATTAGTCTGAAATAGTTTTGTCGGGGGAAAAAATATAACAGGGTGCTTTGGGTGGGGGGGATTAATGTGTATTGAACAAAACAAAAAAGTTAGGGTTTGTGAATATTTTGCGGCATATTGTGACATTGTGTGCTCAGTCTTCAACACAGAAGTAAAACCAAAAATGTTCATGATCCCTTATTTTATTTTTATTAGAATTTTAAGCAATGTTATGTTCTTGCATGTGGAACACAGGTTGATTTCTGGAGATGGCATTGAAACATAAATCTAGTAAAAGCAAATAGGTTACATGTCAAGTTTTGCAATTTGCCTTCTGATTTCTGCAAGGCTTTGTTTTACACACAGTATATGTTGTGATTTCAGCTGGTCATTTCCCCCGACTGTCTTCTCCAGCTCAGTCATATGCCATATTTTATGTCTTTAGTTTTGGTCTAGATACGGGGAGAAATCGGGTAAGTCACAATTTACAAAGTCTACAGAAAGGTAAACTGATACTATCATTTGTCAAAGAGGAATTTATTTGTGATACAAAACAATAGCTAGAAGTGGTACTATAACAATAATGGGCTTGAAAATATACTACTGGGGAAGTGTGCACCAGTTTATCAGATGTCTGCAAAGTTTGAGAGTTTTCTAATCTCGCCAGCATGCAGCTATTGGTGCTGAGTATCGGTTGACAACTGAAATGTATTTTTGGGGTCATATTTGTTGAATATTTTCACTTTCATTGACATTACTGCGTACATTGTGTTGTCATACTTCCAGTGGCCAAAACATGAGATTTCATCAAGTTAGATTTCAAGAATTATCACCTGTCAGATGCTCATCCAAATTAGTGGTATGATATTGATCATGTTGACAAATCCCTGTTTACACTGTCAACTAAACTTTGTATGAATGCATTCTTCTGGTTCTTTTTTTTCTATTTTTAAAAGCAGAATATCAAAATGACAGTAAAATATGAAGATCCTTACACAACTTGAATACACAGAGTACACCTAGGTGTAGTGATCGTTTACAGTTGGATCGAGTGGGACTTATGGGAGAAGTAGAGACTGTAGTCGTATTCCTTGTGTTTAATAAGTGGACCTGTAACTGCTGGTTATGTGAAAACAAAATACTACTTGTTTAATATCTATGCAACCTGATCTACGGAACTTGAGGTTTAGATTGGGGTGCCAGCCAGCCAGCGTGTAACATGAATCGTGCAATGACAACTGTTTCATACCACAAGTGGAAAATGTGCAACATATTAATGTTTTCTGAAAATATGCATATTGAATTATTTTGTTTACACTTAGCCACTGCTAGCTTGGCACTTTCTAGTTTCTGAAAATGTGTTTGCAAATAATTCTCTGTGATTTGTGAGCTGTACATGTTGACCAGATTGCAAAGGCATATTGTATGCTGCTGTTTTTTTAATTTTTTTAAGTGTAATGACAAAACACGCACCTTTTTATGTGGGAATCATAAATCAAAAACTTATTTTGTTAACAAATTGGCCATTGCCTTGAATTATTGAAGATATTTTTGCAGTCTTGGAATAGCATGTTGGTAGTTTGTCCTATGTTCATATTTATTTCTTACTTTCAAACGTTTCTAATATATTTTCAAAATATGTAAGTGTATGTACATTTACCTATTTTTGCATAATTTAGATAATGCTTAACTCAAGCAATATTTTACATGTAATTATGTTTGTTTCTTGTCACAATTTCTACGCACTTCCTGATTAGAGAATTGCAGAGTGACCTAAATTATGGTAAAAAGGTAGCACTGTGCATCTAGTCATGTGACCTGTCGCCGGGCCACGGTGTAAGAGTTGTGCAAGCGGTGATGAATGGAAGAGTGAAGTGGTGACGTCCCTTTAACACCTCTTGGTATTTGGGAGGCAGAAATGTACTATTTGAAGACTCATTCATATTTCTATGATTGTAACTGTCCTCATCATTTCATCTATCAGCCTGTGTATAATTTGCATTAAATTTCTATAAAATTCTATAAATGTTGATTATTTTGTGGAGTGATGACACAATTTGTTTTGTTCTTGTGAAATGCAGGAACAATAAAGGTATTATTACTGATACTTGTTGTGTGTGTTATGTGTTGCATGTCCTCTGATGTCGTATTAGCATATAGTTGTTGCAAACAAATGTCATTTTCTCTCGCAGAGAAAGTGCACAGATGCTCCCCGACCATACGCCTTTTTCAGCACCATAATAGTTCTTGTGAATTTGATATGTGACATGTTTGCTTTTTTCCCCAGATATTTTTGAAACTATTATATAACTGAAATACTGTCGGGTGGTCAGGCTTGCTGACTTGGTTGAAGCATGTCATCGGTCCCAATTGCGTGGATTGATGCTCTTGATGTCAGTCACTTGATTGTCTGGTCCAGACTTGATTATTTACAGACCGCTGTCATTTAGCTGGAAAACTGAGTGTGTCAACAACAACAAACAAACAAATCCCAAATCCTATTTGCTCAATCAATACTTGTGTGGAGGGATGACCCAAGTTCTCAAGTCCCTGTAACTAATTTGCTGGCTACTACCAGGTAGCTTTGGTAAGCGTCATATTCATGATTTCTCCATTCTGGAAAACACCAGGTCTTAAGATAAACATTTAAGCTGGTAGTTGATCCAAGTGACATTAGTGCTGGTGGTGTGGAAGATACAAAATGGCATTTACAACCAAGTTGGCTACTTTTCAAAGAAGGCCCAGGAAAAATTACTCTTCAAATGATAAAGAACCCCTTGCCTTTCTGTTGTCTTCGCAACATTTTGAGTTGTATTTGGGAACAAATTGTTGAGGTGGAGTTTGTCTTTCTAAGAATTTACCTTGAGATCAATTAAACATATCTGGGGCAAAGATATACCTGAAGCTCTTTCAGTTTTGCTATTAACGCATGTATAATGGAAGCATGTCGACATGTTTAATAGAACGTGACATTGTCCTTTTGTAAAAGTTTTCAGTGTATGTGCAAACTTTGTTCATAAAATGTTGTGGCTAGGTTTTTCTTTACTGGCATCCAAAAAATATACAAAAATTCTGTGCCAGATTTGCCAGACACTTGTTTTGATAATTCTTTCATGCTGCTGGCAAATTAGAGGTTATGAGAGATTAACATCAAGGCTTAAAAGCTCTGACAGAAAAACACAGATTGGGGCAGTTCTGTTAATCTCGCATTAGTCCACAGTGCTACACAGTGCTTGGGGCACATAGGTTCACAGCAGCCAGAGCTTGTACCAACTAGAATGAGCATTGGATGATCACATGTCCAGACTGATCATGTGTGTCCTGACAGATCGTATGTGTCCCGGGGAGGTCGGGTAGCCTTGTGGTTAAAGCGTTTGCTCGTCATGCCGAAGACCCGGGTTCGACTCCCGACATAGGTACTATGTGTGAAGCCCATTTCTGGTGTCCCCCACCGTGATATTGCTGGAATATTGCTAAAAGTAGCGTAAAACCATGCTCACTTGCTCGTATGTGTCCGGACTGATAACGTTTGCCAAGACACCCGTGAAGATCCAGGTTAGAATAGGTCTTCAACAACCCATGCTTGCCGTTAAAGGCGACTAACAGGATCAGGTGGTCAAGGTTTATGCATCTTGTATCCTAATTGCGTTGATCAATGCTCATGATGTCAGTCACTGGATTGTCTGGACCAGATTCAATTATTTACCAACCACCATCATATATAGATTGAATACTGCTGAGTTGCGTCAAATAAAAAAAACAAAAAAACTTATCCCATGAATGATCATGTCTGGACTGATCACATGTGTCCTGACTGATCATGTGTCTGGACCGATCACGTGTGTCCTGACTGATCATGTGTCTGGACCAATCACGTGTGTCCTGATTGATCATTATCCTTTGCACAGGCTACAACTGAGTAAATACATTTTTAACAAATTATGGCACATTTCAAAATCCAGTTACCTCCTCCCCCAGGTTGATTTTTGCTGCAAGGATGGGTTGACCAGCCAGTTACCTCCTCACTGACCACTCTCTCCACCCCAAGAGTGCTAAGGTGTATTGTGGATAACAATGAATTGTATGCTAAAATAGTGGTTACTATTTGGGGGATGTTAGTGACATATAGCAGTAGTAACTCTTATGTAAGAATACATTCACCTTCCCACAATGTGAACTTCCTGGCACCATTCAAGTTCAGTAATTCATTGAGCAGGCCTGACTTGATAAACAGTTAAAATTCTGACCTATGAAATTAAAGCTTTGGTGGTGTAGAACGCAGGTTAGGAATACTCCAGCACACAAAATCTTCACCCACAGAATTTCCACTAAAAATAATATCTCAGGAAAAGAGAAATAAAAGGCGAGGTAATATTAAAATAATTTATTAAATTAGGATGTTATGTACATAACAAAACTATAAAACATTTAAAAACAAATCTACATATATCTGGCCTGTGAGTCATGGAGGAAATCGCTGACATTCGTTGAACATGTGAGAACCATCTCAAAACTATGAACATACTTTATCAAAATTGTCAATGTGGCAGTTCAAAAACAAACATTCTTCAGTGAATTGTGACTTAAACATTCATATTTTCTGGACGTGCAACGATACAGAAAGTCCTGATACTTGATATCTGACGCGATGTAATACTTATTGTAATACTTATCTCAACACAACAATAATGAAGCCTTTCAAAACACCTTTCCCTTATTTAAGAGTATTACTTACGTTAAATGACAAACTCAGGGCCTTCCATAGAGTGGCAGCAGGCAGAGCTAGGACTGAAGTACTAAAGGCCTGCTTGTTAATATCATTTCAGATATCAGATGTAGTGTATCATGAGTAATCCTTGTTCCATTTGTATAATTTCATGAAAGAAGGGACTTCAACTGCCTTAACTACTGAACACACAAAGACACTCAAAGTACCAATGCACATAATATCTGAATAGAAAAATATCACAGTCAAGGAAAATATACAATTAAAACATCCTTTCTGTCACACATCTTCCATATTGATCACATGCACACACACCTCCGACAAGAGAGAATATCAATTTATGTCAAAAGTCTGAGGAACACTTGCATCCAACAAGCACACAAACTCCTAAACGTGATTTTCAACTGTGTTTGCATTTAGTCTACAAGCAGTTTTGGAAGCCCATATTTTATCTTTGGACAATGGCCTTGTCAGAAAATGCTTACAAATACATTTATCATTCGTTACTTTGACAAAGACTTCTAACCATATGCTGAAAGGAATGTTCTTCGTACAGTCTACCTAGTATTGAAGTGATTCTATTCATTTAGATAATATCCTAAGACAAAATATCTATGTAATCATAATATTGTGCCAATAAAAACATTAACTATAATAGATATCACAATTATATTTGAGTATGAGAAATATATTTTCTATTATTTCTAATCTAAATAATTTATTTATTGAACCTAAAATAAGCCATTACTATAACAGCTTTGGCATTTGCCTAAGTTTATCTATGTCTAGAATATTGTCTGTTGACTCTGTTGTATTAAACACTTGAAATTCACTAGTGTTCGTGCTAGGGTATCTATGCTGGTTCAGGGGCTCCTCATACCGCCTGCAATGATTGGGTAACCCTGGTGAGGAATCCTCTTCTCTGTGGACTATATGTTGAGGCGATACATGGCGCTTTATTGGAGATGTTGGATAATGCCTTCTTGGGTCTTGAGGTGACGGCGAGTATGCCACAAAGTCTTTCTTGATAGGACTCTTTGACCCATTACTGCTACTGGAATACCCAGAGTAGTTGTCAACTCTGTTCGTCCTTTCACATAATGGACTTCGTACATCTGTGCTGTGGTCCCTTGAGCGGCCTGCTAGGGAAGCTACATTGAGTTGACTGTCCCCTCTTAATCGATCTGGGGAAGCTGCTATACTGTAGTCTACCTTTAACTGAAGTGTTTCATAAGTTACAGTTTCATCTGTTAAAGCCGTACCATTAGTGGAGTTCAACAAGCCATATTTCTCTAAATACTTCCGTGTTCCCATGGTAACGTTGTTGGAGGACATACCATATTGTGACACATCTGGGGACATGGTGGTGTCTGACATGAGGACTCTTCGCAGCAGTGCATTCTGGGATACCTGTTTGGGAAGGTTGAGGGAGTTCTTTCTCAGTTTGCCCAGCTGTGTGAGTTGTTCATCATTCAGGTACTTGAGAGCCATGGCGTTGATCTCCATGGATGTGTCGGAGTCAGAGTCCAGCATCATGGACAGATAGTTGATGCGGGGGATGAAGGTTGTGTCGGCTCCATTTCTCAACCTGGAAACAAATAAGTGATTGGTCAGATTTGTGACTCATCAGTTTTACTCTAGATATTTTCAAGTTCTTCCAAAAACAGAAGCGGCCCCATCACCGCCATTTGCTCAGAGTTTCTAAAGTCAGATGAAATGCTTCCAGCATAAAAAACATTACTGTATATTCTTGATTACAGTGCGCACCCAAGTATAATGCGCACGCCCCTCTAGCAGATTCAGTATTTATGAAAATAAATATTCCTATATTATGCGCATAAAAAAATTACACCAGACCCCTTCAGCGAATTACGGTAAACGAACGGGTGATAAGAAACTTGGTCAGAACAAATTTGAAATTTGACATACAAAATCACCAGACATGTTGATCTACTGTTTAAATTGTACTTTTGTTCTGCTAGGCATTGTTTCACATCCAGGGCTTAAGATTATCGAATATTCTCGTAAACTAAGCCGGAAACATCAATCATATGTACACATGTTTTCTTGGATTCTACTGGTGATTCGGTTAAAACGTACCCAATGATATAACTTTAAAGGCTTGTAATGCAAGGATCGGGAAAATTGTACCTGAAACTATTTTTTTATCAGGAATAATATATTCTTATATTATGTTATTTTAGTTGCAGCTTTAATTAAATATCGTATTTCCGATGTTACGTGATCATGGTAATGTCTTTGCGTTGGGGAGAAAAAACATCAAAACTCATTATTGCGTGTATAATGTGCACCGCCTTCTACACAGCTGTGTTTTTTGGGGAAAAGTGTGCACTATACTCAAGAAAATACGGTACTTCCATGAGTGGAAATTTATCAGGACAATGTTTTCAGATGCAGCAACGACCAGTCTCAGGGTTGTACAAGTAAAGATGCAACAGTAACTGGCACTGAATGATACAACCACTCGTCACAATAAACATGACTTTAGGAGACATGCCAACAAGATGTACATGGTGCAGGCAGACCAAGAATCATAATCAGGTCTACCTGAACGTAATGCCATGACCAGCAGATTCTTGGAGCAAAGAGTTGACAAGTACCAGTACACCATGACTCATATCATACTAAAACAACAACCAAGCTCTGTAGTTGTATCTGATATTCACTTACTGTAAGTGAGACAGAAGTGCGTGTGCAGGTCCGCCAGACCCTGAGGCCTTGCTGCTGGGTGTGGCAGGGAGACTGGGCAGGATTGTGTCCCCTTGAGTGGAGTCAGGCAGCTTCATCTGCAGATCAGTTGTCTCACTGGTGTCCCCTGTCATATCACTGTGCTTACCCAACAACTGTCGGATATTGCCCTGGAGGAAAGAGGGAGGGAGGAATAGTTAGTCAGTGCCTTAGAAATCTCTTCATTAATCCTAACAGGTACAAAAAGATAAAGACATATGCATCATGCTAAACACTGTTATATTAATAAATCCAAGCACAATAATGCAAAATACGATGATCATCAGTATCAGCAGACAGGAGTAAGAAATTCACATGATATGAAGCAACAATAACTTCTCCAACTAAGTCATCGGATTTTCTACAAAGGATCTAATATAGATATAGACATAATGAGCTGAAAGGGAACACGGAAATCATCTGATCATATCATTAATTTTAGGAATAATAATGTTTATTACCATTGCTTAGGGATTTCATTCACTTGTGGTATTTCACTTAATAATATCCAGATTTAACTTAACGCACTATTTAATATACACTTTGTATGCATCTATATGCAGGAGGATCTCATTTGCAAAATGTTTATTGATCACAAATGTGTTTCTGCTCCCATCACTATAAACAGATTTTGTATAATAAACTATTTGTTTGTCAACCAATTTTAGAAACACAAGTGAGCACATCTGAACCTGTTTTATAAAGTACAAAGTGGTAAATAGTTGGTGTTGCTTCAATTCATCTTCACATCTCAATGATCTTACCAGCAAGTGTTCATAGTAAGCTTCATCCAGAACCTCACTCTCTCCTTCCTCCCCCTGCGAAGACGATTCCTGTAGAATTAAAGTGCATATGTACAACTTTATGATATCTAGGACAACAAGTTTAATGTCCGCAATTGTTCGTCTTCTTTACTATTTGGAGTCCTCGTCTTCCGCCTCTAGTAAAACACTCTGCAACAATTCTATTTCTGCTTTAAGACCCAAACTGACTTCTTGGGGGTACTCTTTCCCACAACCTTAAGGCTCCAAAAACTAAAAGACTTGGTTGTCAGGCAATGACTTTTGAAAATATAGTGGGGGCAGGTGGCCCCCTTTTTTTTGTGGTTCAACCTAGTATGTAACCAAATAAACAGTTGTGTACAATCAACCTGGGAAATGGCCTCCCTACATAAATATATTCCTTGATCTGTTGCAATCTCATTAAAATCAGATCTTAGTTCTCGTTATCGCTGAACAAAGATCTGAGGACATCCCATTACGGGTCACGTCAGAACGATCTTTCATCCAACCAATCAGAGCGTCGCTTACCAGATCATGAAAGTGACAGACGGAATGTGTTTTCTAATCATGCAACCTTGAAATATTTAACAGAGGGTAATCCGAACGACCGTAAAGCTCGAGAAAGCTGCCTTCTGATTGGCTAATGTCGATTTCTTGTCATTCATCTCATTGATCGGTCAAAGTTTGCGAAAGGTCGTTCTGACGTGACCCGTAATGGGATGTCCTCAGATCTTTGTTTAGTGGTAGCGAAAACTAAGATCTGATTTTAATGAGATTGTGATCTGTTGATGAGTAAAATACTAATAGATTTGTCTCTTATTCCAATCTGAAGCATCTAGTGGTGGTCAGGAAGACCAAGCTTTGTTGCTACATGTATTGCAAAGCACAGAACTCAACTTCATTGAATCTTCAAGTTATCGAATGTATGATATCAAGAGAACACAAAAAATCTGCCCTGTTTACCAGCTTTGTGTGCTTAATAGCTGATGCATATATGTTTTCATGGTCACCTGTGCCTAATTTTCAAAACAAAATCCAGTGAATTAGTATTAATTTTCTTGACACAATTTTACTATCTCACTATAAAACAATTATTAGAAAACTTGTGATCATGGAAAAGTCTTACAATACCACAATATACATACATTGCTCTTAATATCAAACAGATTTAAAATAACAAAAATAATAGGGTACACTAGAATACAGTATTCGACTACCGTTCGACTACCGTTCGACTACCAATGTGTGCATAATACACGCATACAATGAGCTGCAATTTTATTTCAAAACGTCTCCATGAGCACATAACACCAGAAGTAGCATGTCAATAAATCTGTACTGAAATACACAAGTTACTCCTGTTACTACCTGTCTATAAACATGTTCATTGTTTATTGTTTGTAATCCAATATATTATGTTTATCCAAGATTTCATTCAATTTTGCTTACATTAATTTTGGTGAAATCATGTATGAACTGATCGGCAAATCACTTCAACTCACCACGAACTCACCTTGAAATATACATTTGTCATTAGAGATACAAAGTCTTCGGTCTTCCTATCACTGTGTTGAAATTTCTTTTCATGATATTTGCCATGATATTAAGTATTCCTAAACTAAATCACCCATAGATCAATGAGAAAATGCGTGGACAGCTGATTGCCTTTCAAGCTTATTTTACAAGACAAATACACACATAATCTTAATCTCTGCATATGAAACATTGTCTGGCATACTGTACACAAACACCATTGAATTTGTAAATCATCATGCCATGTGATATTTTATCGTAAATTTCATGTTTAAAAGTACAAAATTTGTAAACGCCAAAACAAGCACACAAGCTTCTACGGTCGCCATGACCATCACACACAGTGCGCATATAAAAGGAAGTAACTGCATGCTATATTGGATCATGTTGTTTTTACTAATGCAGCATTTCACTGCCCAGGTGAAAATGGAACTAAAATGATACATACAGCAGACTTTATGATGATGCGGCAGTGCCTGAGACCAAGACATTTTTTAGCCTAAGAATACTTTCTGTCATCATAGTTAAATAAGACTGTTTGAAGGCTTACCTTGCTGTGGCCACACATGCTGGCACTGATGGGGCTTGTCTGATAGCTGCCGTCAAGAGACCCAGAGTCTTTTGGCGAACGACTGGAAATGTCAACAAATATTAAAGCACAAGGCAAACAAACATTCACATCTGCCAAACATGAAACTGACCAACACCTACACACATACAAGAATACATAAAACACTTACTGCAGCAGACACTATTATAACACCAGCATGAACCACAGGTGAGTAAGTAGCAGTATTCTGTTGTAACAAGACATGTCAGCTAAAATGGGAGGTAAGCCCAAAGTGATGCAGGTCTTGAATATTTAGTACCTTCCTGAATCCTGGGGAAAGGTGCTGACAAACCAAGGGTCATAATCCCGACAAATCTAAATTGGAACCCACAATAACAGGATCCAGACATGCCTACTGGACAAAGTAGCCACCTGTTCCCAACCTCAGATTAGAAAGAGCTAATTTGAGTAGCATACTGTTACATAGCCCTGCTGCTTAGGTCTGCCTGCACTGTTTTTTGCATGATTGTGTTGTTAGTGTTACCCACCTGGTAGGTGAAGACTGGTAGCTAGGCATGTCCAGGATGAGCTCGGACTGGACACTATCGACTGTCTGATTGTGTAGACCGATGTTGTCCACCACAGCTGTCAGGTCGCCCTGTGTGATGTCATGCTGGTCATTGTCATCTCGCTGTGTGCTGTTGAGGGGTAGGGCTCCCTTGTGCCGGATCTCCACGGGGGTTTGTGTGGAGCTGCTGGGCTGGGATTCTGGTCCTTGTTGATGGTGGACCATTGTTGAAGACTGTGGTGATTTGGTCTTTACTGGACTGGTCTGCAGAGACACTGATTGGACACCATGGCGAAGTGTGGTTTCTCCAGGGCTGGGGAAGAACAGTGTTGTGTTGACAGCTGTTTCACATGTCTCTCTTGTACTCGGTGACACCCCAATCCCAGATTCCGTTTGAACTGTGTGTGGTGTTGGCGTAGTCTCAACAGGCGACTGTTGTTTCAAGAGCTGCTGCATCTGAGTTTGTAGTTGCTGAAGTTGAGCATTCTGGGCCAGGATCAACTGATAGATCTCAGGGGGCACCTGTTCCCAGTTTATAGTGTCTATCCCAGAAGGGAGATTAGAGTTGGTCTTGTCTGGTGTGTTGGGGCTGCCTGTTTTAGGAGATGGGTTGGACCTGTCTGGTGTGACACTAAGACCACTGTCATCACTAGATTTACCACTACAAGTGCTTTCTGTGTGAACTCGACTAGATGAATAGGAAGTGTGGAGCTGAGGTACAAAACCAAGCAGATTCTGCTGGGGAGGATACCCTGTCGCTTGCTGGGGGTGGTGAGGTATAAGCCCTCCTTGGTGAGGGTTAGGAGTAAAAGCACTATTGAGTTGTGTGTATTGAGTGGGTACACTGGAAGCCGAGGTAGGTGCTGAGAGTGGAGCAGATGGAGGCTGTGTTGGCTGGGGGTGATACCCCTGGGGTACAGGCACGCTCTGGTGGGGTAGGTGAGGCCCTGAAGGTGGAATGCTGGTTTGCTGGGCTGTAGGGTGGGGCTTGTGAGAGGGCTGCTGTACATGTGGGAGGGGAAGAGCACTATTTAACTGATGAGGAGGTATAACAGAATGCTGTGGAGCATTTCCATTCAAATGTCTTGTTTGATTGTGTGGATAACAGTTCTGGTTAATGTTTAAATCCTGGACACTTTGGTTAACATATGCATTCTGAACATGTTGAGTCATTCTAGGATCAACAAAACCCTGTTTGGTACATTGCCTATACTGCTCAGCTTGATTGTAACCCTGAACGTTATTTTCACATCCACTTGGCACAGAATTCTGCTGGTGTCCATTTTGCATGTAGGGACCCTGATAGTATTGTCCATGCATTACACCACCCATATTAACACTGTGACCTCCATTCATCATTCTGTGACCCTGAGAAGGTGGAATAGAGTTTGGCTGAGACTCTTCATCCACCCTGGTAAATGCAACATGTTTGTGTGGTCGGGGTATCCCACTGTGTGACATCTCTGGAAGGCTCCTGGGAGTGGAGGGATCAGCATCAACACCATTTCTTGGTGTCACAGGAGGACTGAACGTCATATGCCTGACCAAATCTTGTGGCACTTGTGAGTGCTTGTTAGGCCCCTGACCATGAGATTTACCAGCCTCTGATCGAACAGTGGATGGCATATTTTGTGATGGAGAATCAGGAAAATACAAAGAAACCTCGGGTACCATTGGCTGTGCTGAAAACATCTGAAAATGTAAATATTGTTACCATTAATTTTGAAAATCATCTCTTTTATATAACATCTATTACTTTATCATGTTTATATTAAGGTCCAGCTGAAGAAAGAGCCCAGGCCTCATCGTACAGCGCCCACGGAAGTGAGGACGTCACGTATCTTCACATTGCTGCTTGAATCATAACATCTGAAGACATCCTGGGGAGGCAGATCTGCTAAGGGTGGGCCCTTAGACGTAGTAATGCAGGATAAATATACAAATGTGAAAAATATATTTAGATTATACTAATTTTTTTCTAACTTATCCTGCATTACTCTGTACGGTGGTGGGCATACTTTCAGATGTGGTCCTGAGAACGTCTAGGCAGCTGTCCAGCACATCACTTGTGAAGATCGGCAGCCACTTGTCCAATCCTGTCCGTGGAAAGAACAATAGTTTAAGGAGGTCCAGGTAAAATGCAGCAATAGAAAACAGCTTGCCCTAGAGTCTGAAAACTGACTTACCGGGCCAGTGCTGGCTCTGGACAGATGGAGGTGTTATTGGCATATAGGATTGGTGACCTGCCCGAGGACCCAAGGACCAAAACTGTGTACACTTTTGACGTCTTCCAAGGCCATGTCCCTCAGTTCAGATCTCCAAAAGCATCCTTCCATGATGGCTCTGATGTATCAATTACAGTGGAGAGCCACCATAGAGGCGACTGGCCGATCTCATGAGGATTGTTGACTCTAGGAGGATAAAGGCCAGCGGCCTCATACGGCTGAAGGATGATGGCACGTAACCACAGGGATACGATATTGTGGCTAACTTCAGTCATTGATGTCAAGAAGACCTGAATGAACAGCCGTTTCCGGGCACCACGTAGAGTCTTGGAGCAATGGATAAAAACACATAGTTCTTCATCTTCAAAGCCCACAATTGAGGAGAGTGGTCGTATGGTGAAGGACCTGTCAGGTTGTCCTGGGAGTTAATTTTTGGCAACGAAGTCCAGGCACAGTCCGAGGTGAACTGCTCCCTGCGCTGTCCTAAAAGCGGACACGGGTAATGTCAAGCGCGTGTAGCTCGCTGACCCTTCCAACTGTAGCCAACACTAAGAGGAAGATCCTTTTCTTGGTGAGGTTAAAGAAGGAAGTTGCATGGAGAGGCTTGAAACGCAGAAACCAAAGTACCATGTTCAGATCCCATGCGGGTGGATGAAACTTGGCCTTCTGATGGGGTCTTTTCCTTGCAGAAGGTTTCAAAATAGCGCCTCATCATAAAGGCTCCAGGTTATTGTCTGGTCCTCTAGGGCACACCTCAACCCTGTAGTGAGGCATCTACGAACAGGCGTGACGTTAGTAACAGTTCTGTTAAGGAAACATTCAACCATCCACCACCTGAGATGTGGCATGCGTCTTATGTACAGTGCTAGGAACTGTGTCCTCTGATCATCAGGTCCTGGGCTGATGTAAGCAGCCCCAAAAGCACCTGCCACTGACGAAGTGTGAGGGATTGCTGAAGGCCAGGTATCAGATGGCACAGTACCTTGAAGCATCTGTCTTGTGGAACCATTAGGAGGTCCAAGTCTGTCTGAAACTGGCCTCCTATAAATTTCTATGATCAGGTGAGTTTCAACTTCATCTCGTTGACCATCCATCCCAGCTGATGGAGCAGGCACCTGGTAAAATCCTGGTGAAGGAGCAGGGTCACCGATCAGGATGGCTCAGTAGACAATCGTCTATAAAGAATTGGAATCGAATGTTCCTCAGGTGGAGGTAGGAGGCCACTGGCTTGGTGATGCAAGTAAATAGCCACAGGGCCGCTGAAATGCCAATTGTGACAACTGCGTATTGGTAGTGGACACCTTTGAATTGGAACCTGAGGAATCAGCACTCGTTGGGATGGATAGATACATGCAGGTACACATCCTGCAAATCAAGAGTGATCAGGTAATCGTTGGCCTTGATTCTAGTCCTGAGCAGTCTTAGAGTTGTCATTTGGAAGTATGGAGGACGTTCTAGGTATAGCTTGTTGAATATGGCTAGATTGTGTATCATTCACATCTTGTCCGAGCGAGTCCTTCTAAAGAGTAAAAACAAAGATCGACGGCTGGGACATAACAAAAGGGGTCTCTGGAGTCTCCTCTACAACAGATTCATGTGAGTCCAACATCATCCTTTTGTGCCATTGGGGCTGCTGTGTAAGGCTCTTTCTGGATGCCTGGATATACTTGGTAAAGCAGGTAAAGCAGGTAAAGCAGGTAAAGCAGGAGATCAAAAGTGACACTTCTGTCCCATCAAACAGATACTAGTACAATCAAGACACCGTGGATGATGGTCCTCAAGTGACTTTTTTCCACGACAATGGACGCAACAAGGCAAACATAAATCTGCAATCAAAGCAGAAGTTGCAACGACCAAATGAACTCAAATATAAGGGATAATAATCCAATGTTTGAACCCAATTTCTGGGGTTAAAGGATTACAGTGATGCTGTTTAACATGTAAACACAAGTTAGAAGCAAAGGAGAGGCTTTAGGTAAGCAATACCAAGCCATAAATAAGAACAGAAAACGCGTGCCTCCATGTACGATACCACACAAAATGGCGGACTGGAACAACAAACCACATAAGAATTACGATGACAAGTCACCCTCACATTGAAAATATTAATGCTCTGGCAAAAATACATGGCAGAACATGAAAACACCAACTGGATGATCGGAGATATTCACATATACTGTAAATCGTGAAATTAATGCGTCCCCAAAAGAATGCGACCACTGGACCCTAGCCAAAAATGTGACTCAATATGAATGCGACACCCCCTCCTCTCAAGCATCAGTGGATTTCTATCTTAAGATGTCCTCAGTCAGGTTTAGAATCCTCACCTTAATCCAATCACACACCAAATAACACACTTATTAGTGCTATGTAAAGTACTTCCGCAAAAACAATACATGCGCGCTGGCTCATGTCGGCCTTTGACGTAGTCGCAAAGAACAAAGGGTGGCGTCTGCCTGGACTTGCAGGTGTGATCAGTGATGACATAAGTGAGTAGAACTCTTGTCTTGACCCCAGCAGTGACAATTCACAGGACGTAATTAGTGTTTGAATGACATTGTTTATATACTTGTGCTGCTCAATAAACAGTGGTGTGGAATACATCAGCGTATGTCTAATTTGGTATTTTTGCTATCCAATATGTTATTGTTGATATAAATGCGATGTTTAAAAATGTGAGCAAAGACCACTCGCATTTTTCACATTTAATTCACGGTCGCGTTAATTTCAAGATTTACAGTATTTCATAAATAATGTAAAAAACAGGTAACACAAATTTGCTGGACAAATTTATTGAACAGTCAGTCTGGTGACAACCAGTAATATGAAGATAGTGATGTCATCACTTCCGTGGTCATGTCGTGCGAACGGGTCTGCATTGCAACTGGTTCGAACAACTATTTCTTCAGCTGGACCTCACACAACTTCATTCATGGGGTCTTTGGACTGACCACCTACAACCAAACCAAACTCGAAGACCCTAGAACATCGCTTAGTTTCTAACACTGTCTAGGCTTACCCTGGCCTGATGTGGAGCTGGCATTGATCTGGGCACAATATCTTCTGAACCTGTACCACGCTCTTCTTTCTGGGTCTGGGGACACACTTCACTCCTGCTTCAACATAAACACTCATCTATACTAGTTTTCACAACATGACAAATATAATGATAAGAATGTAAATCTTAACATCAAGGTGGACAAGCTTAGGACTATTAAGAACTACATCAACATGATCAAGGCTGAAAACATAAAACGTTTCATCTTTAAACAAAACTTGGAAACAGTGACACAGTCAAACCCTTTATTTTTGTAAAAACATTAGTAGATACCTAGTCATGATTGTTTTCTTAGTTTTCTCACTCTGACTTGACTGATATGAACACAAACCAATAACCAAGGATTGTTCCATATTTTCAACACAGGGATCTAGGTATTATGTATAAGAGCAACTCCGACTCACATTGGCTGTTTACAGTGGGTGAGGGCGGCATCGAACAATTCCCGCTTCTTCCCCTGCTGGACACTGGTCAGCTCACACTCCAGAAGGCCATTCTGTAGACTCACGGAACTCTACAAGGCAACACACTGACCATCAGTCTCTTGTCCCCAGTGTATCCAGTCTAATCTCTATCATACCATGATTACTTGAATCAATTTGCAGGCTAAAGTCAGCTCAATTTTTTATTCTTCGCAGGGACAAAATTTACCAATGTGAGGAATCAAACCCAATCTTGTGCATGTTCAGCTGGACTAACAGTCTGACCAATGGGATGAGGTAGGTCCCTTACTGGTTTGATGTTCTCTATCAGAAAGTGATCATGAAAGAGTGAGTGAGTATGGTTTTACGCCGCTTTTAGCAATATTCCAGCAATATCACGGCAGGGGACACCAGAAATGGGCTTCACACATTCTACCCATGTCGGGAATCGAACCCTGGGTCTTCGGCGTGACGAGCGAACCACTCTTACCACTAGGCTACCCGACCGCCCCTGATCATGAAAGAAGATAAACTGCAAATCACTGTTATCAATACAGCTATGATTCATGATTGTTTGTTGTTGTTTAATGCCACAGTGTGGACATTCCAGTGATCTATGTTGTGATAAACGGTCGACTATCAGGGTACGATGACAGGCAATCAACCAAGTCACCGAGTCTGACAACCCAATCCACTTAGTCACCAGCATAGGTTGTTAGGTACCTAGTCTAACCTGGGGTTGCCACAGGGTATATAATTCTCGAAAGAAATGTCTTACTGTGTTGAGGTTTGTTGCTTCATATCCACCATACAGGTCAAAGCTGATCTTGTTGTTTCCAGTGGTAGTGTTGCACTCATAGAACTCGGGCCGAGAATGGAGTGGGCTGTAAAGCACCACTAAGAACCCTTCCGGCGGACTACACACCCTACAAGGCAGATAAAATCAATATCAGCCCAAAACTACACAGGTAGGCATTAAATGCTTTGCCTACACCATAAATATAACTTAAAAATATGAAAATGTTCTCATTTATATTAGCTAGTAGAATTGCCAGGTTATATTCCAGAACATGTAGCCATAAATGCTGTTAACACTTATAAAATTCAAAATTCATACGAGTAAATAACCATTTGCAGAATCAGATGCATGAAAATGTCCCCCCCCCCCTCAAAAATGAAGGAACAGCAACTACCTTCTTCATATTGTATTTGTAATCCACATTTATCTGATAATGACAACACATTGTTGGGTGTTTTATCTCCAGTCAGACATTAATAAGCAATGTGACCTACCTGTCTTGCAGGACCTTGTTATGGAGGTAGCGAACACAGCTAGCCCACACAAATGGGTGGTGAATCATCGCAACACCGGACACCCAGCTGAAAATTTAACAACAGAACATACTTTACAGATCAGTAGGAATTTTCCTTACAAACCTAAACCAATTACCATAATGAATTATTAGTCCACACAATTGAAATAGTATTGGTCAGTAATTATCAGGCCCTTTTAATTTTTTACAATGTATGCAAGAACACACATTCTTTTAGTGTTAGTGTTTGGAGTTATCCATTTCAGATTTTCGAAGATGAGAGAGTAGGACAGTTCAATGGATGCCAGTCTTTGCTGTGAAGAGCACAGTAGATGAAAACAAACTAAGAATTTGACTTACATGCCAACAACTGGAAGATTAAGCACTTTGGGATCCGATTCGAGGACCAGTAACAGTTTCCGAGTGTGGTCCATTGTAAGGTAGCTGGCACAATCAAACATAAAGCATCAATAGCAGGCCAACAACAGTCACTGATTGTACAGCCACAAATACATAGAGGTTTACCAATATCATGAACTAGATATTGTTTCCAGCACAAGATATTACCCTCATCAGTAAGACATTAATACAATTTGTATCTGGTCATCTATGTTGTACTGTCAATCTATGCTAGTTGTACTAAGAGACTAAATGGATCAGGTTGTCAGGCTTGGTCGACTGCCTGCCATCACCTGCTTGATGCAAGTTGCCAACATACAGCTGGAATATTGCTGAGTACAGCATTTAACAACAAACCAAACAAATCTCATATCTCTTCTAGAAAGGTTTTTGTTGAACATAAATCTAGATTATTGCCATACAATTCTTACACCGACATCTCACAATATGTACCTTGTCAAAAGTACATTAGAACAAGAAAGATCAAGTTGATGAAGGAAAAGTACATCCAACTTACCCACTCTTGGGAGTTCCCTGCACATGGCTGATACTCCTTGGACCTGAAAGGTTCTTAGACAGGGCTGTAGGTACAATGGGCACTGGTGCTATGGGAGATGCCTTGATGACTGTGTTTAATGTGACAACATCAAAGTCAAGGTGAGCGATGGACTGGTCCCCTCGACTGTAGAAGTTACACCAGCCCTTGGTGAGTAGGAAGTTACACACATCCACAGTCTCCTTGCTCTCACAGCGTTGTTTTAGTAACTGAAACAAACAAGAATGATAGATTAAATACTGAGTCTTTCCAAATAAACAATATGAAGATGTGATTTTGTATGAGATGAGGTTTTATAGGACTTGCATTCTTTCACTGCAATAACATGAGAACATAAATGAGACTCTCTTCAAAGGAAATAAGTTGTCCAGATTGGAAATGCTGTCTCCATGTACCTACCTTGAGTGCATTAGTATAGTCTTCCACTGAGCTGCCACCTCTAGAACCGCCATTAACACTCATCTGCCACAACAAAGGGGAGAATTAGCATTAATGAAATCCACAATAAGACAATTTTACACACACAAAAATAAGAACATATAAGATATGAAATATGACAATACAAGTGCAGGAGTCGATTTAACTGCTGGCCCATTGGCCCATGTCCAGGTAATATTACAAAGGGCTTGCTGAAATGTAAAGTACATGGCCCGTCTGGCTAGTCAAAATTTCACCGCTTCTCCATGTTGTGTCGTGAATCATGCAATTTTGATGAGAAAATATTTAGGGGCGATGAGTTCTTGTTAACTCAAAGAAAGATATATGTCGATCATCTCGGTGAAATGACAACCGGCCACCATTTTGTAACGTTGCATACAACATCTTTATTTGATCATAAATCCCCATGAAATGAGGCAACCGGAAGCCATGATTTAATGTAGTGCAGGAAAAGGCGTATCAGTGGTGCAGAGTTCTAAAATTTTCAGAGCCCCACTAGGTGGCAACTTGACCACAGGTTGGGCCACTTCACGGCCCCCACCATTTAGTTTTAGGCCAGTTAGTTTGGAGAAGGGCCAGTAACTTTTAATAGGAGCAAGCCCTGCTGGCTACATACAATTTTGTTGTTAAATCTACTGCTGAAGCTGACATAGAACTAACCTACACATTTTTAAAAATATAATTGGCAGATCAAGAATATACTGAACGGAATTAGCTGTAAATATTTGCATGTACTGAACAGGTGTGACTTGGGCACAGTAAATCATATTCCTGGTCGGTTATTGTAGTAACATCTACATATAAAGGACATTACTCTGTAACAATGATTCATTAATCCTGCAATGTGTTAATCCGGATGATATCACTAAACAGCACTGTATGGATTAAAAAGATGTCGCCATATTCCATAGCTTACCAGTATGGGGATCATCACATCACCAGGTGCCAGGTTCTTCAGGGTGGAAGCACTACTAGGTCGATTGTCTAATCGGTCGATACTGAACATCATACCATCTCCATCTACAAATTTTTTTTTACAGATTTAACCTATTGGTACAATTCATTATTGGAGACTCTCAAAGAGTAGAACACTTTCAAAATGCAAAGAAAATATGTAACATTAAAAAATTCTTTATGGAAATCCAAGACAATAAAAACATATTCAATTTTCAGGATACATGTATATCCTTTTTAAAATATCAAAACACTCAAAGTAAAATTAATTGTAGCTGTTCTATAAACTTGGACTGGCTTTCTATACAATGCTACAATGTAGGGGTGTCACGATAAATCGAAATATTGATATACTGCTATTGGTAAGCACTTAAAGTCAATAAATCAATTGTTAAATCAGTTTCCGATCAATAGGTTCGATTTCATTTAGGAATATCAATAGTTTCGATTGTATTTACCATAGTTTTACAGTTTCAATAAAATACATGCAATGCTGTTCAAATTTGTCCTTCTTTTGATCATGAGTACATGTAGTAGTAATTTACACATGGTAATGTGGAAGTTTCTTTTTCTTAAATAATTAGGGTAAAGAAAAAACAAATCAGAATTATCTCAAACTTTACTTTTTATTTGTTGTTATGGTTATCACATTCTAAGGAAACTTAAGTTCCAAGGTTTATTCCAAGTCTAAAATCCATCTAAGATGATACACTGAAAACTATCGATATTTATTGCAATAGTTGCTTGCAATATCAATAGTTTCTTGCAATAGTTTCTTGCAATATCAATAGTTATCGCAATAGTGATTTCCAGACCAATAGTCAGCCCTCTTTCAATGCTTAGAGTTAGACCTACCATCATCTACATTGAGGCTTCCAATCAGGACACAGTCCCGAGACTGACCACAGCTGATACACTGGCGGTGAGCAATTCGCAACACTTTTTCTGATAGACATATCCGGGGTTTCCTACAAATACAGAATGTATGTTATATATACATTTCCACAGTACATGTAAGAAACAAACTATTAAACTTCAATTTCCTCATTCTGAAGCAGGATGTGTCTCCTTGCTTCAACTTAGTCTCTCAAACTTACTATTTAATGAAAAGGTTGCTATGTTAACTAAAGTACAAAAGAGCTCCAGATAAGCTTTTGGTGTTGTGGGTATTTTACCCATGCATTTTAAAATCATTGGGTATCAGTAATTCTATTTGGGTATTCAAATTTCTGTTACCCACTAGTTTTTACACATGGGGGTATTTAAGTTGAATATTTAAAAACACTATTCATCTAGTCCCTGCAAACTGATGTCGTGTGGGTTCGAGAGCTTTATAGGACTCAAAAATACCACGATACTTCCACAAGAAAGTGGGATGGCAAATGATCATGATGTAACTGTCATCGTGGAGTTTGGCAAGGTTGACGGAATGCCCGTTTATAATTTCAAAATAAGTTGCTGATTAGCTAATCGAATATGCAGGGTTACTTCACAATATTTTGATGATACGCACAAGTTTTATTTTTGTAGCGTATCTGTAATGTTCGTTGCGTATTTGATACACTTGGATTTTATTTTGCTGCGTATTTCTGCATTTCTGATGCGTATTTTACGCAGATACTCAGCTTATCTGGAGCTCTGTACATGCATGCAAAATCAAAGTTCTATCCAGAGAAACACTACAATAGCATTACACCAAATACTGGACTTTATATTCAAAATGAAAGACTGCACCACATGCTCCATATTCAATTCTGTGTCACCTATTTTACTGTTGGTGGCTCTAGATGCAACATTAATGTGATAGTTGCCTTCTATTACATAAGAATATTTTACATGCCACATGGTGTCTTTCACACTAAAAGTTATTCATCCATCACATATACTCTAAAACAGTAGGGGATCATGAAATATAAATGTCTTTATCAGCTGTCAGAAGGAATATCAGCTTTGAAAAATGACTGCCACAAAGGTTTCAGAACCAAAACCCAATGCCCTAAAAACACTGAGACTGGACCTTGCAATTCCTCCATGCATGTGAGTAGGAGACATTCTTGATATTGGCACTGCAGTGAAAGGCCATTATATCGCTCTGAGCAATAAACATTGTTGATTTTCATTTTCCACAGTAACACATAAGCTCTCTATTCTTTAATGCAGTATTTGTGATCAGGGTCTGTAATGATATAGTGTGGGATCACTATGACTGCCAGAATGCCACTGCATATTGTCCTTGGAAGTGTCAGTGGACAAGTACTACTGAAACAACATACTGGTGCCAATAGTTGTGTCGTTTATCATTAACGAATATTTGACCTATCGTGGCAGTAAGTCATGAACATACTGGCGCCAATAGTTGTGTCGTTTATCATAAACGAATATTTGACCTATCGTGGCAGTAAGTCATGAACATACTGGTGCCAATAGTTGTGCCGTTTATCATAAACGAATATTTGACCTATCGTGGCAGTAAGTCATGAACATACTGGCGCCAATAGTTGTGTCGTTTATCATAAACGAATATTTGACCTATCGTGGCAGTAAGTCATAAACATACTGGTGCCAATAGTTGTGCCGTTTATCATTAACGAATATTTGACCAATCGTGGCAGTAAGTCATAAACATACTGGTGCCAATAGTTGTGCCGTTTATCATAAACGAATATTTGACCTATCGTGGCAGTAAGTCATAAACATACTGGTGCCAATAGTTGTGCCGTTTATCATAACGAATATTTGACCTATCGTGGTGGTAAGTCATAAACATACTGGTGCCAATAGTTGTGCCGTTTATCATAAACAAATATTTGACTAATCGTGGCAGCAAGTCATAAACATACTGGTGCCAATAGTTGTGCCGTTTATCATAACGAATATTTGACCTATCGTGGTGGTAAGTCATAAACATACTGGTGCCAATAGTTGTGCCGTTTATCATAAACAAATATTTGACTAATCGTGGCAGCAAGTCATAAACAGTTCTTGGTTGTTTGCACTCTTACAATACACCGCCAACATGTTCTGTTGATTGTCACGTTACACCTAGACCTTCCTTTTTCTTATCAATACCATCACTCGACACCTCTCTGTATTTCTGTAATCATCTGTTATTTCCGACTATTTTCTACTACCTTTTTGGGAGACTATATGTCAAATGCATATACTAGTATATGTATCACTGTACGTGAATCTCCCCAAATGTGAAAAAACACAACATACCTGTACTGGGCAAAGTGAAGGTACACCGGTGGCCCAGTGACTGTGTGATCCCAAAGGATCACCTTCGTCTTTGGAAATTGTAACATTTGTAAATCTTCACATAATCTGCAATAATAACACTGGTTCAATCAGAACATATACTTCAAAATTCACAACAAATCAGGAATTTGATAACACATTAACTGAACATGTTTATGCATACTTTGACATCAATGAAAAAGTGCATTCAATAAATATGTCATACCCTAAATTAGTATTCAACAAAATATGACCAAAATTTGTCCGTGGTCCAAAGGACCAGCATAAAAAAAAATCAACTTGTCCTGTTGGATCTGTACTGGACACAATGGTGCTTAGACTTGATCTATTGTTGATTTCAAAAGTTGTACAAACGTAAATTACTTTCTTCATCCCCAAAAACCACCATTTATTTAATGTTACTGGTCCTTAAAAAAATGAACTAGACTTGGACAAGCGGACCAGTGTTAATCTCAAGCACTGATTTAAACCATTCTAATTTCACTTATCTCCTTCCACATAAATGTTCCCCATAATTCTATATAACAGTGTTCTTGAGCTTGATGTTCATAAACCAGATATGAAGTCAATAAAGAGTGACAGGGACAACAATTGGGGCACTGCTACTTACTCTTGACTACCATCCATACATTGCTGTCTCTGAGCCCGGGGCTCCACTTGAGGGTAAGGGAAGCCATATTGTGCCCGGATGTGTTCGGGCATGTTCTTCAAGCGGACAGGGACAGCCATTGACAGAAAAGGCTGAAACAGATCACAACAATTGTCAGCACTTAAATGCCAGTTAGCACCACACCTTTCCCTAATGGTCTGATGGAAGGGAAAGTGTGATACACAGAGGCTTGTATCCAGGACCAGATAACACATTGCACTTACTTCAGGTGAAAATGTAATATTTGTAACACTGTTGTGAGCATGGTTATTTAGGACATGTAAAGGCATAATTAGAAGTAACAGTTTTAGTCTACTAGTCCTTATAATGATAACATATAGCAAAACCCTTAAAAAGGATAATTTATACTAGTCCTCAAGATACCTTAACTATTAGGCAGTTTGGCAAGGACAATAGGACTGGTGCCAATTTCTAACGCTGTTAAAAGTGTATAAATGTATAAGTTTATATTAACATAATGGTCCTGAAGAACTGCTTCATAAGTCATTGATAAATCATAGACTTCTATGTTTGGTTCCTTAAAAACAGTGGAAAAGTTGAAAATGCTTATTTTGTTATACAAATGATCGAATTATCCTGAATGATATCAATGTTTTAGATCTTAAATATAATCCTGCACAAATAGGATTTCTTCAGAAATCACAAAATATCTTTATTACATATATACATGATATAGATTGTGTAGATATATGCTACAAGATTACTGTTAAAGGTGAAACCATTAGCAGTTACTGGTGAAAAACAGCAAAGATTTGCCCATATATGAGAATTGGATGACACTGGGGCTGGTTGTGGAATGTTGAAATCTTTGAAATGCTTCACAGACACATATCATCTAAGAATGAATGGAGTCAATTATACAAGAAATTTACCTGTCATGAAAATCGACTTTCATAGAATTGGAAAATCATGATCTTTATGATTTCATGATGAGGTCCTTGGAAGGAACCAGGCACCAACCAATCATTAATTGTTTAACAAGAACAACACTGACAGACATTAGCTAATCTTCACAGATCAGAGGAAGATATTTACTTATCTATGACTTTGGACTAATGTCAGAACATGACATTTATTTGAAACACAACTTTCTGCTCAAAATATTCACTGGCACTTATTTTGCAAAGACATGGACTTAAGCAAACTTTTCATTAGATTTAAGTGTTGTTATTTTAGGGACTATTATTGACAGACCTTACTAAACAAAACAGAATTTCACATGACTTTAGCTTTGGACTACTGGTTAAAGTCACAGACTGCGAAGGTAATAATTTCCCATTTCTTATACTCAAGCTCAAAGCCTTATACACAGCGAAGGGTACAAAAGGTGGCTACCATGCCACACATTCATACTGCCACCTCCCATGTGGCCAGTAGCCTAACACAGCATATCTCAAACCATACTGACTGCTGGGCACCCTTTGATTCAATAGTCATTTATTCAACTACAAATAGTTCTTTCAGCGGGATAAAAGACGTTTGCACAATTATGTCCATGAATGCTGGCTCACTTAATGTGTCCACATGCTAGTCATTTGACTGCATGAAATACAAATCAGCATGTTGGAACAAGCACATACTAAATTCATAAAAGATAATTTGCCTTAAAATGATAGAACTACTTAACAACACAATCAAGCAGCATACAAAGCTTAAATAACTACAATTGAATTCTTATGGGTCGAGTGAATTATTACCCCTGAAATGACAGGTCAGGTTCAGAAATGACCAGGTGATCTTTTCATTTTTGTCTGGGGTTAAGGACTGGACCCATTAAACTGGGCATAACTTCGTAAAATCATAAATTATCAATGAAGTAAACTGACAAACAGCAGTACCAAGTATAAATAACATGATAAAATACATATTCACATTTGCAACTGCTTTTAAGTATACCTTTTTGTCATTCAGATTCCCCATCTTTTTCAGTAGATTTTATGTACTTCTTTAGTATGGGCTGTGACTGTCAGAAGCCATGGATATATCTAGGATTTACAAGTACGTGCTGATGCCATTGGTGGGAGCAAGGTGCTATTTTTTCCAAAATTTGGGGAAAAAGTACTCCAATGTTCCTTTGTTTTATCCTTACACTAATATTGTCTTTTTATCATTGTCTTTCTTGCTCCAGGTCTCAGAAGAAGAAAAAATAAGTGAAAAAAATTAAAAATATTATTGAGGAATTTCCAAATTACAATTTGGATTCTTTTAAAACTGACATCTGCTTCTGAGGTTTCTAAATTACCAAACAACCTGAGCGTACTAAAACCAAATACCTGGTACATTTTTCTTGACTTATGCATTGTACTAGTGGCTAAAGATGCAAACTGCTTTCACAGAATATCATTTTTTCTATCTAAAAACACCTAATATTTTTCAGTCTGAAAGGAGGTACCATTATCCTTTTTTTTTATATAAAATAAAACTTACCACATATTTACCTTTCAACCCAAAATACTTGAGTGCTAGCAAGGGTTTTCACAGAAAAAAAGACTGCACAAAAGTGCAATCATAATCAGATTGCCTTTGAAAGAACAGAATTAACAGACCACGCAACAAGTCTTGATAGTGAATTAAAGCAGGCCATGAAAAACACAGTAGGCTAGTTAATATGTTTGTTGAAAAAGGTACATATCAAGGGCTTTACGTAGGAGTACTAATCTTGTCTGAAAAGACAGAGAAAATCTGTGTAGGTTCAATAGGTCTCTGATTGTACTAAATCTGATTACAGGATTATGTTCCACTGCTATTGTAAATGTTCTATTCATAAGCAGATAAAGCCTGGTGCTAGCAACTTAGCTAGATGTATACTACTCTATAGGCCTCTCAACTAATCACATCAAGCTTCCAGCACAGGATGATAGCCCACATATTTTGGCATGTTTAGATCATGTTGACTAACTGCATTCCAGAAAGTTTAGTATATTTTTTGTGCCATTGTATAATTGTAACCAAAGGTATAGGCAAACATGAAGATTTGTTTATGACATAACATGATAAAGGCCTGTCCTATCATATGATAAACTTTTCACATTTCTATTTACAAGATTTTAGATGTTCAGCACATTAGAAACATGTCTCAGGAATGTCATTTCTACTCTATTCATACAGGGTCATGATGCAGAAACATAAGAAAATGTTATCTTAAATTACAACTTGTAATAATTTACCAGGAATAAATTATCACAATTTGAAATACTGTTAATCATGATGAAAGACAAAGCATTGAAACAGCATCTAAAAAAATTAGACATTGTTATCAAAAAGTCATTCCATGTCTTCTTGTTTAACAGTCTTCTAAATGCCAATTTAAAGACATGAAATACCAGTACTATATTGTTGATGAATAGAAAATGAAGCATGACAGTGCTCCAGATAGATGCCATATCAGTGTATTATACGGATGAAAAAGTCAAATAACGACGGATTGCAAATTACAACCATATCAAACATGATCAAATACGGGGCAAACAACATGATACGCTCTCATGATTACGTGTTACCATATCTTGTCTATTTATTCTCAAAAACGTTCTTCAAAACATTGTTAATCTTATGTTCACTGTTATCAGGCATTACCTTCAACTTAAACAGGAATACATCATTTTGTGTCGGCAGCATAAGGATTTCCTCCCATTCATGCATTTTTCCTCCCATTCATGCATTTTTCCTCCCGATCATGCATTGTCATTGGCTAATAATAACGCACACTAGAATTCTCTCGTCTCGGTTATGTTTACATTAGTTTGGCACCAGAATGTGAATGTACAACTATTAGTCTTTGAATGATGATGGTGCAGTATCATACCAGCATTTGTCAATTCTACAAACGAGCAGTATGGTTCTTATTGGCATGAAAATAACTGCCTGGTACTCAGTTCTGATAATGACCAGTACTGTAGGTATGGTTGAAACATTATCTGGAGCACTGTATGAACATAATCATATCTGTATATCTTTGTCCCATCTTTCCATGCATAAACAGGTCAAACATGTATGCTACTGAATACTTGGAATTATTCCATCCCGCAAGTTTTGTTTTTAACTAAAGTCTTTTGCATAATCCAATGTTTTCATACACTTCTTCAATCACTGGACATTCTATCACATGTTGAAGGCAACAGTACTGATGATCAAACAGTTGTCTTGAGTTTCGGACAATACTGACCTTGCTCAACTGTTGACTGTACATTACAGTGCATCTTGCTCATCTTTTAACAGAACAAGTATAAAGAAAACATCTTTGATAACTACTTTTCACCTAGCATGCATAGTCAACAATCTTTATCAAGATACATGAAGATACATGCTTTTAAAGCAAAGCAGACCATAAACTGTTGTGATATGTTTACAAATACTGATAAATAGAAAGGTTTGTTTTTCATTGCCTGGATAGGTCAAGCATGATGTGGTGTGTGACATAACTTTCTTGACAATAATAAAGAACAGATGTGATTGGCAAGATGTATTTTGCAGCTTCTTATTTGTAATGAGACTTTTATTTGTCATGATAGATATATCAATGGAAGATCAGCAAATTTAATCTTTAATATCAAGTTTCAAAGTGTTTCCTTATGGGATTGTAATATGCAGGTGCAAAGTGTTTCATGATATAATATCCTGCTAAATGTTAGCAATTTAAACTTGCATGCTAGCCTTTGGCTAGTCAAAATTGCAGAGGGATCTACTGAGTTTGGAGATGATTTTGTTCAGATATTCCATGAAGCTAGTTGTGATATTTACCAATTTTTAGAAAACACACATACCACCTTCAGTAAACAAAAAAATATATTAAGCTAGTACATTTTCCAACAAGTAGTTCTGATCATGCTTATGACAAGTGCAGTTTTCAATTTCAATGTCAACATCAAGTTCAACAATACTTATATTAGTATTTAATTTACAGGTTTGTGTATTTCTACTAGTTTTGATTGTTTACAAAATAGAACTGCAACATCTTTTGTTGAATCATTGACTTTACTGTACATAACACAGGATGAAAGACCTATGTTAAAATGAATCTGCATTTGTAATATTTTTATTGTTTAATTTGAAAAACTATTAACATGATTAATGAATTTGTCCCTGTTCCACAAAGTCAACAGTATGATTCTCATATGTCCATTTTAAACGAGTATCGGGCTGGCATGGAATAGGATCCATATATTTCACAACAGCAATGACATTGTGGTTAGACGATAATTATTCAATTTACTACTACAATCAATGATGACAAGTAACAACTAAAAAACAGACGTTTCATATTGAACTTCAAATGTTGCATACTGGTGAAGCCAGCTGAGCCTTCAAAATTCACACTTGTCTGAGCCCAAGACTACTACATTGTGCCAAGGACAATTGGAAATCCAGTGATCGTAGTCCATAATGACAATTAATATTTGGGGTGTTTCAATCTTCACCAATCCTCCATACTTTAAACTTAATACAAATTGGTTTACCTGGACTTGATACAATATCTGAAGAATTGTGGAATAGTTTTTGCCCTAGTTCTCTGACCTCGTCTTTCAAAACATTTATTTGTGAAACATCATCAAATATAACAGTATATATTTGAATTTGGTAATTAATCTAATGTTCTTATGCATTTTAGCAAGAGTAAAACAATCTTCAATAGATATAGGACAATATGAATTCCCTTTCAGTTGTGTTGGGAAAAGCAAATCACTCGAAGGTCTGAGGCAGCGAGTGTGATAATGTGAACTGACGAACATAACAGAAATACTTAAATTCAGTTCCTCAAATCGATAAACCCCTTTGGTACGGTAGCCCCTTGGTAAGGATTCATATTAAGTCCTTGTCAACTTACCTTTCATAGTATTTGTAATGTAATCCAAAGCCACCGATGGACTCCTAGCTTGTAATTACGCATCCATGATCCTCCCTAGTGGAATGATGCACACCAAACACACTTAATTGGTGTAACATGATCATTGATGACTGTTGATGAGCAACTTTGACATATATGAGACTTGAACATGAACTATTCACCCAGAGCCATTCAGTATATCCAAATGTATTATGCGCAATACTAGTATTTCAGACTTACTTCAAAGAGCATTTTGTCAGTTGATTGAGTGTTGTACAAGAAAACAAACGTGATTGAATAACCAAAAAATGTCAACAATAGACATAAAACAATATCAAGTTCCTCACATGCCGATGTCAATCTCACGCCGGCCAATACCACTCATGGAAACAGAACACGCCCCTACATGTTTTGACAGCGTCCCGCGAATGACTTTACAACTAACATGTGATTACTTGATCTTGACATATGTAGGGTCATTCAACTGGTGTAATTTCACATGAATTCTTAGACCATTAAATCAAACATCATTCAATATCGGAGTTTAAATTACGACAGATGCAGAACACTAACGATTGCAGTCGCTGGACCTTTTGAAGTTCCCACGCGTTGACAGGTTTCTGTACGTTTGCAGTCCGTACAGACGATTATTTTATGCCAGTGATTAATCGGAGCAGCCACCAAAACGTATTTCAAAGTAACATGATTCTTTATCACATCCTTAACTGCACACATTTCATGATAAGGAACAGTTAATGCATAAGTGTTCTATATGATTAACAACGCATTGCCTGCACTCACCTGTAAACATCAACATTGGCGCTTAGCAGTCAAACCATTTCCTCACTGCGCATGTCGGCCACTTGCCTCGTTGTAGATTTCAAATCAAAACTTAGGATTTACAAACGAAAAGAACATGGGGATTTATGTTTTTAACCACATCAATAATATTAAGTATATCCTGAGTTGCATTACCAACAACAAAAATATTGTTATAATTTATGAAAGTGTCACAACTGGTTTCTAACGATAATTGTTTAAAACATTATCAGCGTTGCACATTCAGTTTGTATGTAATTACAACTCCGTGGTGTGTATTATTGCCAGCGCTAATCCGATCACTAACAATGCTGAATTAGCAATTACACTTACGGCACTCCCAATAAGATATACATGTATTTTGTGGATTAACGCAAAAGACGCCTTGAATGTTCATTGAGCTTAACAGATAAACAGAGAAGCATATTGTTTGTTTTTCAAATTGGACCGACCTGATTGTTTGAAAACAATAGTATGAACGTAAAATATGTTCTTTTGGATACGTCGTTCGAATGTAAATAAAAGAGTTTCTATCAATATTAAAGTTTTTGAAGGGCATTTAGAAGTGATACACATAAGGAAGAGAATTTATGGATGTCAACTTCTTTATTATGAGGAACACAACGTTTCGGAGTATATGCTTATCGACGAAGAAGTAATGTACCTCATAATAAACAAGTTGACATCCATAAATTCTCTTCCTTAATATTAAAGTGATTAAATATATGGGCATATATTATACCCGTACACTATTACTCGACAACTGTGCAGGATAAACAGGTATACTGCACAAGAGAACACTCAATGAAACGTATTATCTAAACCGAGTCATCCCTTTAACTGCAGGCATTAAGCAGAAGAATATGATATCTAAGAAAACGTACAACTTTATGGATAACAAGTCCTGGTTTATTGCATATATAGCGACGTTTCGATTCTTACACCGTTATCAACTAGAGTGACAACAGCCAAGTGATGAGATGTATTAAGTCTGTCTTACAGACCCTAATACAAATATATCCAATACAGCCCATGCAAGTCTATAATGTTTGGCAAGTCTAGATTACTGCAGTGAAAATGAAGAGAGTCTCTGGGCTCCTTTTCATTATATTTTTATTCAGATAATTTAACAACTGTTTTTTCTGTACGATATGACTGGATGTTTGTCTAGAGAGGTATATGCATGACATGTTGTGATAAGCAGCAGATTAACATTGACAACAATAGGTATTACCAAGTAGCATACATTTAATTGGATGAATCCAAATGTACAGTAAGAATAACAAATAGCACACAGGTAATGAAGCTCGCGGATAAAGAATGCCAATGAAACAGTGAATATGATATCGATAGTAGATTTCCCAGGAAACAATTTAGACATTTTAGATAAGATCATTTGAATTACCATATCCAAAGACGTATATATATATATGTATATACGTCTGTGCCATATCTAAACTTAAAGTTTAAAACTATTTCATAACTCATCCGTGATTGATATTTTGCCGTGTTTATTTCTCCTGGTTTATCATGATGAAACATATTTCATTATTTTAGTAGCCATACAAGTGTAATTTTCTTGTTGGTTGAAAATCGTAAGATGTACAAATTCGTGTGCAAATCCATTTCGTCTTTTAGATACAACCGCATATATCCCTTGCCACATGGTGTCGAGAGTTTAAACATATCAGTGTTTGTTTATTGTTCGTGATATTTTTAGGAATTATTTACTGAGTCTATGAACCTTGCAGAAAAGCAACGTTACTTTAATTGGGTATATTTGACCTAGTTTTATTGGTTGGTATAGTTTAAAACCTGTGTCAATACTTGCTCGAAGTACAGAGGGGTTATAGCGTAAACGGCACCTCAGCAAAAACGTCACAAGGCGAAAACGGCACCGATTGGCGAAAACGGCACCTTATTTTTTTTTTTACCTTGGCAAGGCCGTAGTTAACTTTTTTTGACAGTTTTTTTTGTCCCCAACTTGATTCAAATAAAACTGTTTTCTATGAAAAATCTAGGGGGGCAACTGCCTGCCCGCCGGCTGGCTACGGCACTGCTTGGTCAAATATATGATATTAAACTTACATTGTAACTTGCAAACGCCAATTGAGACAAGTTTACATTAGAAATTAGCCTCTACTCCAACTATAATCCAACTTAGCTTATACGCAACACAACTTATTGTGAAAACATAACATGCTTTGAAGAAAAATAATAGAATTAAACTCACATCGTCTTTTACAAACACAAATAATTGTGAAATAAAACAAGTAAGAAATTAGCCTCCTACTCCAGAATGTCAGAAAAAATCATCATGCTGTATCCTGTGATAACTGTGACCAGTGGACCCATCGTGTAGGTGGAACCGGACTTTCTGTGGCCCGTTATAGAGTTGAGGTATTAATACTGTTGTTATAACTGATTGGTGCAATTGTTCTCGGTAATTTACAATAAGCTGTCAAGTACATGTTGAATATTTTATTGTTACAGTAGAGTAATTGTCGAGAGGCATATCATTCTTGCTACTGACCGGCAATTACAGCACTTAGGAGTGTAGGAGTGGTCAATGGTTTATGGACGGAACGTTTAAAATTGTCAAACAGGCTGCGTGGAAAGCAATCAGTAAAGCCCTTCCAGAAGCCCGCATCCGTGGATGTCTGCTCCACCTGACTCAGGCAGGCTGTTTCTAGGTAGCCTACATGGTGGATGATGCCATCCACAAGTTTGTAAGGAAAATCATGGCACTCCCCTTTCTACCAGCAGCCGACATCACGAGGATGTTCAAATACAAAATGTTCAAATACCCACAATAAAAATAAACTATATAAAACAATAAAAATGTTTTTATTATACACGAAGAACTCTATATATGAACATATGTACTTGTCTGTGAAAACAGGAAATACCATGTAAATACATGACATACATCAAATGACATGTAAATACATCAAGTACGATGTAAATAAACCATATATATTACTACAAAAAAATCGTTATTAAAAATAGAGGTGCCGTTTTCGCCCCATACATAGTAGCCGTTTTCGCCAGAGAAATCGGTGACGTTTTGCTGAGGTGCCGTTTTAGCCTGCACCCCAGAGGGACACCTCATCATTCCGCGATTTTATTTGTCATTTGTTTATATATTTGTCAGCACCTGATCAGAGTTGTATGTTGTATAGAGCAATAATTTTTCGACCATTCTTTCGTTTACGCCATTTGGGGAGCGGGCTTCTCGGTGGCAAAATAATATCAAACTCGAAGTATCTGAACACGTTTAGTATTCCGCAACATTCCATCATGTCAGAAACAAAGTATGGTGTTGTATTTGTACTCGGTGGACCTGGGGCTGGAAAAGGGACGCAGTGTGAGAGAATAGATAAGGTACTGTACATGTTTCAATACTGATGGCATCATATTCAATGTTTTAAAACTTTAGTTCTAATTTATCTGCACAGATAAGCTGCAAGCCCTGTGCATTTTGGACAAGTTTTGAATCGGTCATTTTAACAACACTTGATTTTTGTCTGTTTACTCAAGTTTGATCAATTTAGAAATATATCATAAAATGATTATCCTAATTACATCACATAATGTAGATAGCTCAATTTCTTGAAGGACACTAATTACGTTGTCCTAGATAGGAAAAGGGAATCAGACCATGTTGTCTCGTCTCAATAGATCTTGCTAGGAGACTAATCTGAAAAAGATATTTCTTTGATACTCCTAGTATTTAAAAGTATTTTAATAAGTGTTTTAATGTTGTTGACATTGTTCTGTCCTAATGATTATTGCGAATAATTGACAGTTTTCGACTTTTCGTGTGAAATTCTGTGTTTTTATATCCCAACATCACCTGAATACGGCGATCATATTTATTGTGTTATTGTCTGAGAGCATGTGCTGTGTCAGAGGTAGCCGGATGTACTAAGACATGAAACGTATCCCATCATATTTCATAACTCCTAGTTATCCTGGGTGTGGCACATGTCCACGAAAAGTTATGCATAACTTGTACACAGTTTAATGAAATAATTCTATTAACATGATAATTTGGGACTATTAACTTCTAAACAGGGAATGGTAATGGGATGTCTGTGATGAGAATAGGATAGGGTGATTGTAAACTATATGTGCTAAGATATGAGATTATAGTGAGATGCGAATGGCTCCAATTAATCTGTCCACTATCCAGATTGCTGGTGCATTGATTCCTATGGGGTACGCTATCCAGATTGCTGGTACATGAATTCCAAGGGGGTACAATATCCAGATTGCTGGTACATGAATTCCAAGGTGGTAAACTATCCAGATTGCTGGTACATGAATTCCAAGGGGGTACACTATCCAGATTGCTGGTACATGAATTCCATGGGGTACGCTATCCAGATTGCTGGTACATGAATTCCAAGGGGGTACAATATCCAGATTGCTGGTACATGAATTCAAAGGTGGTAAACTATCCAGATTGCTGGTACATGAATTCCAAGGGGTTACACTATCCAGATTGCTGGTACACGAACTTGAGGCTACACTATCCAGATTGCTGGTACATTCAAGGGGGTACACTATCCAGATTGCTGGTACATGAGCTCCAGGGGATACACTATCCAGATTGCTGGTACATGAATTCTAAGGGGGTACACTATCCAGATTGCTGGTACATTCAAGGGGGTACACTATCCAGATTTCTGGTACATGAGCTCCAGGGGATACACTATCCAGATTGCTGGTACATGAATTCTAAGGGGGTACACTTTCCAGATTGCTGGTACATTCAAGGGGGTACACTATCCAGATTGCTGGTACATTCGAAAGGGGGTACACTATCCAGATTGCTGGTACATGAACTCGAGGCTACACTATCCAGATTGCTGGTACATGAATTCAAAGGGGGTACACTATCCAGATTGCTGGTACATTGGAAAGGGGGTACACTATCCAGATTGCTGGTACATTTGAAAGGGGGTACACTATCCAGATTGCTGGTACATTCGAAAGGGGGTACACTATCCAGATTGCTGGTACATGAACTCCAGGGGGTACACTATCCAGATTGCTGGTACATTCAAGGGGGTACACTATCCAGATTGCTGGTACATTCGAAAGGGGGTACACTATCCAGATTGCTGGTACATGAACTCGAGGCTACACTATCCAGATTGCTGGTACATGAATTCAAAGGGGGTACACTATCCAGATTGCTGGTACATTCGTAAGGGGGTACACTATCCAGATTGCTGGTACATTTGAAAGGGGGTACACTATCCAGATTGCTGGTACATTCGAAAGGGGGTACACTATCCAGATTGCTGGTACATTCGAAAGGGGGTACACTATCCAGATTGCTGGTACATGAACTCCAGGGGGTACACTATCCAGATTGCTGGTACATAAACTCCAAGGGGGTACACTATCCAGATTGCGGGTACATTCCAAGGGGGTACACTATCCAGATTGCTGGTACATTCCAAAGGGGGTACAATATCCAGATTGCTGGTACATAAACTCCAAGGGGGTACACTATCCAGATTGCTGGTACATTCCAAGGGGGTACACTATCCAGATTGCTGGTACATTCGAAAGGGGGTACAATATCCAGATTGCTGGTACATAAACTCCAAGGGGGTACACTATCCAGATTGCTGGTACATTCCAAGGGGATACACTATCCAGATTGCTGGTACATTCCAAGGGGTACACTATCCAGATTGCTGGTACATAAACTCCAAGGGGGTACACTATCCAGATTGCTGGTACATTCGAAAGGGGGTACACTATCCAGATTGCTGGTACATTCCAAGGGGATACACTATCCAGATTGCTGGTACATTCCAAGGGGGTACACTATCCAGATTGCTGGTACATGAGCTCCAAGGGATACACTATCCAGATTGCTGGTACATTCCAAGGGGGTACACTATCCAGATTGCTGCTACATTCCAAGGGAGTACACTATCCAGATTGCTGGTACATGAATTCTAAGGGGGTACACTATCCTGATTGCTGGTACATGAATTCTAAGGGGATACACTATCCAGATTGCTGGAATGTTCCAAGGGGGTACACTATCCAGATTGCTGGTACATGAACTCCAGAGGCGACACTATCCAGATTGCTGCTACATTCCAAAGGGGTACACTATCCAGATTGCTACTACATTCCAAAGGGGTACACTATCCAGATTGCTGGTACATTAGCTCCAGGGAATACACTATCCAGATTGCTGCTACATTCCAAGGGGGTACACTATCCAGATTGCTGGTACATTCCAAGGGGCTGCAGGAACTATGGGTGTAAGGAAGCTTCCAATTCAATATTTAAGCTGAAGGATCAGGACACACATAACATGGGCGACTTAAGTTTTCTTGTTTGCAAATGAGTTTTCAATCTTAATCTGATCTCATTAAAATCGTATCTCAGTTCTCGCTACCACTAAACAAAGATCTGAGGACATCTCATTACTGGTCCCACCAGAACAACCTTTCGCAAACTTTGACTGACCAAGGCAATGACTAACAAGTTGACATTAGCCAATCAGAAAGCAGCTTTCTCAAGCTTTATGGCGCTAGTTTCAAACTAGTTTCCAGACTAAGCATTGAAAGATATGGATTGGAACTTTGAAAACTGAACAAATGAAAATTCTGGAATATCAAATAGGTGGCCGGGATTGTATGGCAGTGCTATGGAACGTCTCTTCCGTTTCAAATGTTTATCCTATAGAAACAAAAAATAGAAAATTACTTTGACAGAATCTATTGTTCAGCCTGTAATTGTTGTTCAGAATACCCTGTGTTAACCATTTTTGAGGTTTCATGATTAGGAAAGACATTCTGACTGTCATTTTCCTGATCTGGCAAGCGGCACTCTCATTAGTCAGTAGTCAGATGAAAGGTCGTTTTGACCTGACACCGTAATGGGATGTCCTCAGTTCTTTGTTTAGCGAGAACTAAGATCTGATTTTAATGAGATTGATCTTTACCATTATCTGATGTATACACAAATTGTTATGTATCTGATAAGATTATGTTGTCAAATTAATGTAACTAACTATGTACATGTTGTTGCTTTTAGGAATTTGGATTTCTTCATCTTTCTGCTGGTGATTTACTTCGAGAAGAACGCCAGAACAAGGATTCCAAGATTGGCAGTGAGATTGAAAAGCATATTCGCAATGGAACCATCGTGCCAGTAGAAATCACCTGCTCCCTGCTGCACAGGGTGTGTACATGGCCATTGCCAGTCCTCCAGTAGTGCCCAGTTGTCATAGTGGGCTGCAATTCACTCTAAAGAGTGACCGCCTCTGTGGTTTAGTGGTAGAGCGTCTGCCCGGAGAGTGGAAGGTCCGGGGTTCGATCCCCCGCCGCGTCATGCCAAAGACGTTAAAAGATGGTACTTGTTGTTGCCCTGTCTGGCACTCGTCATTAAGGGGCTAAAACAAAGACTGGTCGGCTCGGAGTCAGTATACTGTGTCTGAGTGGGGTTAAACTGCGGCATGGTATCTCAGTGAGCTAGCACTATAAATCGGCATTAGTCCGGACTAGTACAAGCAGCCTCACACATACATGCACGTGCATGCACATCGCTATATAAGTGCAATAATCTTGGACACGACGATAAACCTCATTTCACCTCACCTCACCACCTTTGGCAAAATCACGAATACAGGAAACAATAATTTGAATAAAGTTTCTTTATTGAAGAAACAGCTAGCAAATAAATCTTTTGCTTTGTATCTTGTGATATGTACAAGATTTTGGGATTACAGTAGAACATGGATATAACGAACTACAAGGGACCAGAGAAATCAGTTTGTTATATACATTGTTTGTTATATATGTTTTCACTCGGAAATGTTTGCCATCTTGGATAAAACAAACACAATACATGTAATTGCAGCATTGCCCGCCATGATAGCATGTGCAAATGAAGTGACACTTTGAGATTATCTCATGAAATTTATGTTTGTCCAGTTACAGGTAAGATAAGCACAAACTAAGATCGCTTTGTGCAAGTGGGCCCTGATCAGCAGAATATGCTTGTGTCAAGTGTTTCACAGAGGAATTGTGACTTAATCATTTGGGGCTTGTACTGTGTCAAAAATGCTGCTCAGAGAAATTCTTCTTGTATTCTTCTTTTTCTTCTTTTAGGTTTCGTATTGGAGTAAAAGATTTGATTTTTCTGAGACTGCTGATCTTTGAACAAACATGTGAAACTACTAATTAGGTTTCGACGTAACGAGAGACTGGTTCTAGAGGGGAACACTATTTTGTCTTCCAGGCCATGGAGAAGAGTGGTAGACAAAACTTTCTGATCGATGGATTTCCTCGGAACCAGGATAACCTTGATGGATGGAACCGAGCCATGTGTGATCTGACCGAGATAAAGAGGGTGTTGTTCTTCAACTGTTCAGATGGCGTAAGTCCATGTTTACTCCTTGATGCATGTTAATTGAGAGTCACAAAATGTGTATGCATAAACACTCAGATGGCAGCATGGACATGTGAGCTGTGGTTTCTCTATATGATTCATGATTGCATATGAGCCCTTTTTATTTTGCAGTAATATGCAGCCAATCAGTCATTGAATAATGAATATGTTGTCTCCCTTCTATTATGTGAATTATTTGTATACTTTAACCTCAGTCAGGGCTTGCATAGGAAGTATATGAGCCTCAAAGTGAATTATCAACACAACTTCCTGATATGAATAGTGTCTGCCTCCGTGGTCTAGAGTGTCTCCTCAGAGACAGAAGGTTGGTTGGTCGATCCCTGGTCACGTCATACCAAAAGACAATAATTGATGGTACTTATTGTTACCCTGACTGGCACTTGGCATTATGGGGATTTACAAGCACTCGTCGGCTCAGTATATTGTGTCTGAGAGGGGCGTATCCATGTTAAAGCTGTTGCATGGTATCTCAGTGGACTAGCACTATAGTGCACGTCACTATATAAGTGCACTAATCTTGAACGCGATTTAATTCACTGTGGTACCTTTTTTCCAACCCCATGTGTTAAATGTTCAAAGTTTAAGTTTATTTGTTGCAGGTTTGTATTGAACGTTGTTTAAACAGAGGCAAAACTAGCGGCAGATCAGATGACAATGAGGAAAGTTTAAAGAAAAGGTAAATAAATTGTAATTGTAAGAACACATTCTTTGACATACTTTAGACAAATGCTAAAACGCTTTGAAACTGCAGTTGTCTCTGGGAACATGATGAAGTATTCATCAACTAATTCTAAATTATGAATTCATTTAAGGATTGACTGTGTATTTTGTTTTGTTCATTGAGGTATGAATTGAAAAACCAAAGTGCAAACTGTATGAATCCGCATAGCGGATTCATACAAAAGTTTGCACATCGGTTTTTCGATTCATACCTCAATGAACAAAAATAAATACACAGTCAATGCTTATAATTAAATTCGACAACGTAAAACAGGTTTTATCTACAATAGTTTAACCAAAAACAGTTGTATATATCAAAACAGACAAAAATGAAGAGATTAATAAACATTCCAGGTGTAGGAATACATACTGTGGCGTGACATGAAACAGGTGATCGTTTTATTTATGTACAAAACTTGACACGCCTACACAGTCAGTAGCCAATCAACAGAGAGTCAGATTGTAACGAAAACCGGAAGAAATATGACTTCGAGAAGGCAGCTGTTTCTAATGACATGGTCAGTTACCGCCAGATTCAAACTCGAAATTCAAAATCAGGAAAACACAGTTGGAAAAATGCTAGTTAGAAATGAAACCTGAAGACATGAAAGTTGTGGAACCGAGGCAAGCGGGGGAAAAAAAATAGGCGAGCGGGGGGTGGGGGAAAGGCGAGCTAGCCTGTATGTTTGCTGTTTCATTCCTTCTCGGCCTTCGGTTTCAAAGGGTAGTTTGGACAATGAATATGCATGAATGTCGCTAAATGTCATGTGCATGACGATACAGAAAGTGAGCAGAAAGGGAATTCCCTTGACTGTAATATTGGAATTCCCCAAAATTCCGCAGCAATAAAAGTAGTGTGCCTCGGTGGGCGTGGCTTAAATTTTTACATTCATTGGGAAATAAATGCAGTAACACATGACAAATTCAGCTAATCAGAATGCAGGAATTTCAATGAACACAACGAAAATTTTTTTTTTTTTTTTTTTTATTTTATTGTTTTTAGAAAGACACACCTGTTACATAAATGGGCTTCCGCCCAGGGTAGCAGAAAGCCCATGACATAAAGCACAACTTATCAGTACATCTTACTTTGTTGTTTTTTTTTATACAGAAAATAACATACTTCTCACTCACACATTCACTCTTGTTTATATATCATATTGCAGTTTAGGAAAGTACATGGTCTCAAACATTAAAATCTTAAGTACAAAACTAAAATTAAATTGAAAGCTGCTCCTCATTTTCGAAAAGTTGATGATACAGCATCCAAGCACCATAGAATTTCTGTTGATTACCTGTCTTGAAAGCAATATCTTTTTCAATGTTGTATCGTGAAAAAGCTTCCTTTTTATAAACATGAAAATAAGGTTTTGTATTTTGGAATTTGCATCTATAAATATAGTATTTTGCAATTAGTAAAAGTAAATCAAACACTTTATCTGTTTTTATGTTCTCTTTAACTCCAAAAAGTATCAATTCTGCACAAAATGTCATATTATAAACATGAAAGCACTGGTCGATCCACAATGACACTTCATCCCAAAATTGTTTTATTACATCACATTCCCAAAACAAGTGAGTAATTGTTTCCTTTTCATTGTGACAGAAGGAGCACAAATCATTCTGAGCATAATTGAGTAAATACAGAAAAGTATTAGTGGTGAGAATTCTGTGGGTAATTTTGTATTGAAACCATCGCAGTTTGACATCCTGACACAACGAAAATTTAATTATTGATTATTATTAAATCAGTTAAAGAGAAAAGTAAAAAATTATGTTGTTGAATGTTATACTTTTATAAACATAACAGTGTGTTTGTGGTTATATTAAATAAAGAATGATCAAAAGTGAATAATTTTGCTTTTCTGTGAGCTGTAACATGTGATGAATTTAAAATATTCTAATAAACCAACCTTATGTTTATAGTCCCGACAAGTTTGATATGTTCAGGCTTAACTGTATTTCTTTCAAACATTGCTTAGATATATTATACATTTATTTATTTCATTCAACTGATAGCGTTAATCTTGAAGTTTTCACATGTTTTGATATCCTTATTTATATGTACTCCAGGATTATCACATACAGAGACTCAACACTGCCTGTGATTGAACATTACCGCAATCTGAATCTTGTGTCAGAAATACAAGCCGACAAGACGCTGGATGATGTAAGTAATGTGGTGACCCGGTAGCGGACTTCCTTCAGGGAGTGGAGGCAATAATAATATAATATGCTAAACGTGTGTGTGTGTGTGTGTGTGTGTGTGTGTGTGTGTGTGTGTGTGTGTGTGTGTGTGTGTGTGTGTGTGTGTGTGTGTGTGTGTGTGTGTTTTGTGTGTGTGTGTTTTGTGTGTGTGTGTGTGTGTGTGTGTGTTTTGTGTGTGTATTTTTTGTTTGCAATTGTGTTGGTTCTTTGTGTGTGTGTTGTTTGTTTGTCTGTGTGTTGTTTGTCTGTGTTTTTTATCTGCATGTGTGTTTCTATGGATGAGGCAGTCAAACTCTGCTGGCATTTAGACTTGCTCATGCTGTCAACCACTGATTTGACTGGTCTAGGCTAGGTTATTTACAGTCCAGTGATATATATCTGGAACAGTCTGGACCCTGGTGTTAAAAAACATTCACTTGCCAAATCATAAGCTGCCTCAATGGGATGTGCTAAGTGGACAACATGTTGCAGGACCTGTCAGAAGCACCGTGAAGATCCGGGGTAGAAAAGGTCTTCAGCAACCAATGCTTGCCATAAAAGGCAACTATGCTTGTCTTAAGAGGCGACTAACGGGATCCGGTGGTCAGTCTCGCTGACTTGGTTGATGCATGTCATCGATCCCAATTGCGTGGATCGATGCTCATGATATCAATCACTGGATTGTCAGGTCCAGACTTGATGATTTACAGACCACTGTCATATAGCTGGTATATTGCTGAGTGTGGCATTAAACTTCAAACAAACAAATATATTATTCAACTCGTGGTACTGATAGTCAAAAATGTAACTCTATTTAAACAAACTCTCGACATATTATGACAGTCAGTTTTGTGTATCAAAAGTCAAAAGTGGAGTAGTATCTTTTAGTGGTGTAACGATACATCGAACTTTCGATTGATTGCGATTGCTTGTCTCACGATAGAACATTATCGATTGCAACTTGAAACAATAGATACTATTGGCGATAGTTTGTCTAACTATCGATAGTTTCGATAGTTAATTTGTTTGGTACATTTACTTTCTTAAAAAACATAGAAACAACTCCTATGATCATCTAACCTCTGTCGTGCTTTCGTTTGGATTGCACTACTTTGTCTGCTTGATTTAGAGTTACGTCCCTTAGCTACTCGTCGCTAGGCAACTTTGACAAGTTGGCGGACGCCACATGTCAGTTTGAAATTGTCGCCAATAAGGCAGGCAAATCGTGGGTATGGGACCATTTCGGCTTTGTCAAAACGCAAAACGAGACAGACAAGCAAAAGTAAGTTTTAGAATCTGTCGGATAATTCTAAAGTATTCAGGAAATACTACTAATCTGACCGACCACTTGACAAGACGGCACCCAGATATTTGTCCACGTTAAAAAGGGGGATCAAATACTAGTCATTCAATCACATTCATTCACATTGGTGCTAAAACACCTAAGACTTTACCAGTTACATGAAGTGAAATTTTGTATTTAAATGTTTTTGAGAGGTCAATTTGAACTTGTTTTCTTTTCATTTCTTGTTTTCTTTACAAATAGTATCAGAAAGTTATAATTATTTTGATGGTGTCAGTCAAAATGCTGAAATATATGCTGCTAAAGCCTGCTATAATTGCAAGTGAAAACTATAGCAATAGTATCGCAATAGTAGGGCCACTATCGCAATAGTATCGCAATAGTAGGGCCACTATCGCAATAGTATCGCAATAGTTGTTTTAACTATCGCAATAGTATCGCAATAGTCAAAAATGCCTCAGTAGTCACCCCTAGTATCTTTACATCAGTGTGGACATGACACCTTGAATCAATCAGTTTAATATGATTTTGTTTTTTATTTACTTACAGGTGTGGGAAGAGGTAAAAGGTATTTTTGAGAAGATCCGCAGTTAAAGTTGGCCTCCCACTGCTGTAGAATATATATATATCAAATGTTGGGAATCTGAAAGAGACAACTATTGAGGGTGCACTGTGAGAGCTGAGAATATAGGTATTAAGATACGACACCCCAACCATTGTATGTACTAAACAATTGTGAAAACTTCAATAGTTTTATCTTCTAAGGTGGATTGATACTGGTTTGTAACACAGAATGTATGTGATGATGTACAGATTATTTATCGCATTGAAATGTGACAGTTTTAAGATGCACTGTAGAGGGTTCGGAACAGTTTTAATACAATTGAAGACATTTCATTATATCGACACAACTGACCATAGTGATAGGAGTAGGGACATTTATGGCCAAAGATATTGTTGACTTTCCCTGGGCATTGTGGGCCACAGATTCGTTTAATTCACTGAAGGTAATCTGCACACACTGCTGTACTGTACTCAACGCCAATAGAAACCCAATCATTAAAACATATATAGAATTAGGTACATTAAGGAGAGATGTTTCCAATGTGAACCACTAAATGACAAAACTAACAAACAGTCAAGTGTTACCATAGCGTGTCTTTATTCTTACCACAATATGCTGCATGTGATTTCCAAATTTTACACACTAATCCTGCACGAGACAAACAGTGGATTTTGAGTCATGGATCTGTGATGTCACATGTGATGCATGATGAGTGTCGGTTCACGCAACATAACAGTATGTTTGTTTGTGTATCAAGCCAATCTAATATCTCTTGAGTCTGAGTAATTCTTCATAAAGTAGCCGGGGGCACGGGTGGCCTACTCATCTAAGGTGCCGCGATTCACTGTGCAGAGTTGCGTCCCTTGGGCACGCCAGAAACCTATGATTGTGGGTTCGAATCCCTGTTCGCCCCGATTATGTTTCTAGGTTTGTCAGCACCATACCCGTGCTCGTGGGTTTCACCGAAGTGGTAAACGTCTGAGACCTGCATCACTTCGGGCTCTCCTCCCACATTAAGCTGACACGCAGTGATATAACTGGAATACTGTTAAAAGCGGCGTAAAACCCAACTCACTCACTCACTCATAAAGTAGCCAACATGTATGGAATACGTGTTTCTTTTGTTGGTGAGTATATTTCTCATGTAAAATGTTGAAAGTTGTGTGTAGAACATCTACATTAGAGTCCGTTTCACTCCAAATGAGAATGATGAATTGCAAAATAACTCCCTGCGCTGTTCCTTCCACGGTTTGTCCCCCCACGTGTCATGTACACATTTCTATACAAAATTACATGATCGTTTCTTAAAGAACTTCATCCATCATGGGTCTTAAAATAAACAAAATTCAGATTTTGTTGGGTACAGGGTATTCATGGTCAAGTACCGTATTGATGTTTCATACACTTTTCTGGATTTCGACTTATTTTGCACTTCATCGTTCTCATTTGGAATCAAACGGACTGTAGGTGTGAAGCTGATGTGTTATTAGACATGTTCAGTGATGCTCTTTTTCCTTTTTGGGACTTTGTGAGTCTCTGTTTGCATTCCTTCATCTTGGATAGTTTAGTTGCACACAACAGATCATGAACTTATTACTTGTCCTTTGTACAGTGGAAGACTCTGTATTTGAACTCCTGCATGTGAAGCCTCAGGCCTATTTTAATGCCTAGTCCTTAAGGCGTTGATGGTCAGTTTGGGTAATAACCATTGTTTCATGTGAAGACTTTTGGTTCATATACCTCCAGATAGCTAAAAGTACAAGAAATAGTGTGTAAATAGTGAGATTTATTTGCAATGGTTTCAAAGCTTGACAAGAAGCACCTGTAATTTTATATTTAAAATTTATATAGACAAAAATGTTGCCAAACAAGCATCAGTCTGTTTTGTCTTAGGTAATCATTTAGGCCAGGCTTTTTTTTATATTTAGGATTACGGATTTTTCAGCCCAAAGTCCAGGGTTAGAGGCGGGGGGGAAAAAAAGGAGCAAAATGCATATTTTTTTAATGCAGAATGCCTCTGGCATACCTTATGAACATATTCTATGCTCAAAAGACCGCCATTTGTGACGATAAAGCCCCTTGTAACAATACAAATTCCATCACTTACAGCATGGACAGTTGTCAAGGGAGGCAATAAATGATAACAAATAAAATAACTGACTACGCGGCTATCGGCAGGGGAAAAAAAGGGAAATCTGATTTATTCATTTTTACATTTTCTAAAAAATTAGTCTGCGGGTCCGTAATCCGAAAAATATAAAACGCCTGGCCTTACTTTACTTTCTGACCAAGGTGAGGCAAGTCAATGTGCACACACTGTCCATCATGGCCTTCTAAAGCCCTGGTTAGTACGTACATGCCGCTGATCATGGGTTTTTCCAAAGTGGTAATTGTCTGCACCCTGTGTCTCCATTTTGCCAATATGCTGTGATATAACTGAAACTTTGTTCAGAGTGTTCGCTGTGCAGAGTTGTGTCCCTTGAGCATGCCTGAAATCTATGATTGTTGGTTCGAATCCTGGTTCGCCCTGTTTGTTTCTAGGTTTGTCAGCACCATACCCATGCTTGTGGGTTTCACCGAAGTGGTAAACGTCTGAGACCTGCATCACTTCGGGCTTTCCTCCCACATTAGGCTGACATGTAGTGATATAACTGGAATGCTGTTAAAAGCGGTGTAAACCCATCCCACTTACTCACTATGTTCAGAGTGGCGTTAAACCCAAACTCACTTCAGGTTCAAGAGACTATTCCACGGTACCTGCTTTGGTTAAGCTTATCTTTCCACAGGAATGTAATTTCTTCCAGTTTTTAAAAAAATTATTCTTATGGTTGTCAGGACTAGGCAAAGAGTTGACCTTTTTGTTGAAGTAGGGATTGTGATACCGGTAGTTGGAATCAGGTTATTGATTGTGGTGATATCAACTAGGAAGTAAATACTTTGTTCCTGAACTGACAATGCTAGTGCAGTTTTCTCATAACAGGTTTTATTTTATGATTTGTGTGTCATTTGTATTTTGCCAGGATTAAATGTTCACCTGATAGGAGATGAGCATTGCACTGTGGAGGTTAGTTTGTGGGGATAGATTTTGGTGTTTACGTGTGAAAGCAGGGTGTTTTTGTTCAGAGCACTTGGTTATGAACCAACCAGGATTTCACAATATATATATATAATGTTCACTATTAAATTTTTTAAGTCTTAACTTAAATTGGCAGATATGAGACCAGTTTTTCACTTCATTTCACCCTTCTTTAAAGAGGTCACATTCCAAGTTAAAGAAAAAATGTTTTGGAACCTTCTATAATTTCCGCCACTGACCAGAAAAAAACTCACCAAGTATTACAAGAAATAACACCTAGCTTTATAAGTGCTTGGCTCAAGCTGAATCTATACGTTGTTCAATCTTTGTCTGTGCAGTATTTATGGAGCATATCACCTTTATAGGATGTTTTGATGTTTACAGCTCTACACTTGTAAGGAGTCAAGTCAAACATGTGTAAAGATATCTGGTCCCTGAACATGACCAAGTGCATATGTTATTATTTACGCTTTGTTTGTTGTTTAACACCGCACTCAGCTATATTCCAGCTACATGACAGCGGTCTATAAATAATCGGATCCCGACCAGAAAATCAAGAAATTGACATCATGAGTGTCGATATACGCAATTGTGATATGATGACATGCATGAACCAAGTCAGCGAGCCTGACCACCCGATCCCGTTGGTCACAAGACCAGTCTAACCCAGAATCTTCACAAGACAATTATTTATGCAGTCAAAGTTTAACATTTAGCTTGGGACACAAGTGTAATGAACCACTTTTGTGGTTTTGTATTATGATAACAAACCCATTGTTATCATGGTTGCTTTAAGTTGACACCATCTTATCAAGATGTCTCAAAATAGATATTACATCACATACCCATTTCACTTTATCTTGGTGTAATTTGCATTACAAAAAGTATTTTTTCCAATTGATCCAAAATGTTTTGATCAAGCCAGTTCCTTTATGAATGGATGTACATACAGTACTAACGATACATCACTTTCAGCAAGACAAAACATGATTGCAAAAAAAGAATTACGAGAAACAGTAATTCATTCTTTGTATGCCTAGACTTCTTTTGCATTATGTTTATCACCCAAAACCTTAATATAAAAAGTCGTCCGGAAACCTTCCCATCAGATACTGAAGGTGAGGTTGGGTTGTATGATAAATAACAAGCAAGGAAAATACAATGGATCAATGGAGTGCAGACAATGTGTTTTTTGTAACAATTTGTTATACATTTCACTAAAGATATTGTCAGAATGATTTGAAAACATTGTAACGGTGTTGGTCTGGTCTGTCAAAGTATATTTTATGGATGTTTACTCATGATCATGCATACCATGACAGTGAATTACGATGTAGAATCATACTACATGGAAGTATTTGAAACAAAATAAATAAAAGGTATCAAGGTATACTGCTGTTGCTCATTTTTGGGAAAAGATTATTTTGTTGATTGGATTCACCTGGTATAAAGGATGTTCTATGAATTGCCCTCCCTCGACAAATACTCTGGACCTGTGATTGATATCATGAGCATCAATCTACACAATTGGGCTACAATGACATGCGTCAACCGCGTCAGCGAGCCTGACCACCCTATCCCATAACATGGGTTGCTGAAGACATGTCTAGAAAATGAAATAGACATCCATTCAAATTACTCTCGGACAGGAAGGAACAAGATGGGTCCAGGGTATTTATCACAATAGGTGGCATTACCCATGTGGTTAGCATGGTTAGAAATAACCAACTTCATGAAAAATGTTTCTGCACTAGCAACAATCTATTGATGTGCACAGGTGTATCGTTTCCATTGGTGGAATGACAAACTAGAAACGACTTCACTGAACTTTGTCGACATTCGACCATTTGTAAGGTTCTGAGATGACAGTCATGATCAGTGCATTTTTCTAAGGGGAGCTCAAAAAGATGATTGGTTGGTTTTATTGCCGCACTCAGCAATATTCCAGCGGTCTGTAAATAGAGTCTGGACCAGACAATCCAGTGATTGACATCACGAGCGTCTATCCACGCAATTGGGTTCGATGACATGCATCAACCAAGTCAGCGAGCCTGACCACCTGATCCCGTCAGTCACCTTTTACAGCAGGCATTGGTTGCTGAAGACCTATTCTTACCCGGATCTCAAAACAATGGGTAATAAAAGAAATTGTACTTGCATGTCCTACTGATTTTACAAAAGTGTAAGAATTCATGTACTGATCTTGTAATAAAAATACAAGAATTCCAAGAATTTTGTAAACACCAGTATGTCCCTATAACACTCAAGTGTACTGAAACTGAAACTTGTGTACATCATGTGCCCAGCTGTGGCTGCAATTCTATAAGTATATTACTGATAAGAGATAATACTGCACGTGTACCATACTGATATTTACAAAACAAGTTTTGGAATTGAACTTGTATGGATATTTGTTCTGGTCTTGACTTATTTGTATAGTGCTAGCCCACTGATATCCATGTTGCACCCACGAAGATCTGGAGTAGAATAGGTCTTCAGCAACCCATGCTTGCCATAAGAGGTGACTAAGAGGATCGGGTAGTCAGGCTCACTGACTTAGATGATGCATGTCGTCATATCCCAATTGCATGGATTGATGCTCATGCTCATGATGTCAATCACTGGATTGTCTGGTCAAGACCCGATTACTTGTCATATAGCTGGAATATTGACGGGTGCAGCGTAAAACAACAAACATGGAGCTGACCAGTTTGAGCCCCTTAACGAGTTCCAAGCAGGGTAACAAGTACCAATTTTAATGCATTTTGGTATGACACAGCCGGGAACTGTACCCTATACCTTTCAGACGCTCTACACACCATGGAGCAGTGACCCAAGAGTGCTTTGAACCATATTACAAAACAAAAATGCAACCCACATCACAGCATATATAAAAGACACAACAAGAATGTGTTCATGAAAATTTATGTCATATATATCACATGCATGTTTGGTTCAACAAATGAGATGAATGTAAAAGATGTCCTAGAACAGGTTTGTTGAAATGATATGTTCTGTGCAACAAGACCATTATCAATGAAGTCAGTAGAAAGGTTACAGATACAGAATGGTAAATTCTAAAAGAAATATTCAGAAAATGATGAAGTATGAATTAAGATGAACAGGATGCGTTAAAAATGTTTGATTTTACAACACATTGCCCCTCAACGGATGACCTGGTATTACACACTTGGCGGGAAACACAAATGTCTGCCATACTGGTACAACGCATCGTGCATTCAGGTTGTACCGTGTTATCCAGTGAAATGTTCAGCGTCCTGGCTAAAAATGTCAGCACAATTCACGTCTCACATTTTAGTATTCTTGTGATTGGGATGACTTCTTTCCTTTGGCGGCAGCAGCTGCGGATTTCTTAGGCAACAACACGGCTTGGATGTTCGGCAACACGCCTCCCTGTGCGATGGTCACTCCAGAAAGAAGTTTGTTCAACTCTTCGTCATTTCGGATGGCCAGTTGAAGATGTCTCGGAATAATTCTGGATTTCTTGTTGTCACGAGCTGCATTTCCCGCCAATTCGAGAACTTCTGCCGCCAAATATTCAAGCACAGCCGACAGGTAAACTGGAGCACCAGCGCCAACACGTTCTGCATAATTTCCTTTTCTGAGCAATCTGTGGATTCTACCGACTGGAAACTGCAGTCCAGCCCTTGATGATCGGCTCTTTGCCTTTGCCTTCGTTTTTCCACCTATGCCACGGCCTGACATTTTTGTTTCAGAAATTATTTACGCTACTGTCACTGTCACGAATGGAGAGAGAATGATAGTAATATGGCGGGCGAATGTTGTATATATAGACCGGAAGTGGATCGAAATTTCACTTCCCCGCCGAAAAAACAGCCAATCATTTGCGAGAACCAGTGTTCCATAAACAGCTTCTAGCGCCATCTGGTGGTTACCGTTCAGGGGCGACAACACATAACTAATTCATCTGACCTGCTCCGGGGACAGAAGAAATACTGAAAATATTGAATTGCATGCTTTTGCGAAACATATGTTACATATTGTTGAAAAGTTTTTGTCTCTTATACTTCTTTTGTAAGTGAAGACAGATTCAACTTACGCGCTTACCTAGGATATATATTTACATATAATTTTCTATATATAGATCTATTTATATGTAAATCAGAGTCCAGTACATACACATACCCACGTCTTTGCTGGAACCTTACATTGCAAAAGCGTGATAAGATATAGATAGCTATGGTGAAAACAATATATGTATCATACAGTGAGCTTTGTTAGTACGTTTAGGAATCTAATGATCAAAATAAGGCAGCGTCATTCTTTAACCATTTCTTTTCTCCAAGCCGCTTTTGATGGTGTTGCGTAAACATAGTAATGACGAAATTCGATCTCCGTAGATGAAATAACCGGAAATTACATAACTAGCTATATCAAACGTGGCATGATCTTATTGTTTTGCATAACACGACACGCATCTGTAGAAAATCACGGAGGAGACACGGACTGAAAACAGGACCAGTCTTTTTGTATATGTCAGTCGCCTTGCTGAGAGCTTCGACTTTTTTTTATACAGTAAGCTGTTGGCTTTTTGTTCAGGAGTTTCTTTAGAGTTTGTTACAAACTAGAGAAGAATCCATCCAGTGTTTTATATAGCCATTATAAAATGCTATGTACCAATATAGAATAGCTATAGAAGGTTGTGGTTGTGAGAGAGGGGTTTCTCGCATGAAAGGGATAATTCGGAAATGGCTATGTTCAACAAGAAAACAAACTAATATAGATATATTTTGAGTTGGAATATTATGGGTGACAGAGATCTCCACGTGGCACAGAGACCATAACCGATGTAATTATGGTCTCTGCGCGTCGCACCAGTCGATCTCTATCCTCAAATTCATGATAATGGCTGAACGATTTTTTGTGTTTGTTTGTTTGTTTGTTGTTGTTTGTTTGTTTATTTGTTTTTGTTGTTTGTTTGGGTTTTTTTGGTTTGTTTTTTTTTTTGGGGGGGGGGGGAGACGCTTTGCAGTATGTTGTTGGCTGCAAACGTATCTGAGAGAGGGTTTTGGAAGTTGGGACCTTTCTTTTCTTTTAAAAATGCTGGACCCGCCCTTGTACTGTGATATTTGAGCAGTTGGTTGTTTGCATGTTGTTGTTTTTATGTGGTGTGTGTGTGTGCGTGTGTGTGTGCGTGCGTGTTTTGTGTGTGTGTGTGTGTGTGTGTGTTATTGAACCTACAAGGAAAGCATGTGAAACTGCAAGTAAACATTTAATTTCGATCCTTTGTTGGTCGTCTGGCACGGAGTGTGTTCTTATCTTGGCCGTGGCCTGTTGCCTCACTAAATGATGTAGAGTACCAAATAGATAGATGCCTGCTGACTATCTCCATCAGTTTGTGTCCCTTAACTGTAGTAATCCGCCACGTCACATTTACCATGGTTGAATTGCAATTCGTATGACCAAGCTTTTGTTTTTTAAATCGATTGAGAGCTGAGGAGAACATTACAAACTACTGTCTATAGGTACAGACTGTAGAAGTGAATCTTAAATTATTTCTCCTGCGGGTATCTGATCGCTGTATAAATGTTTGTAGTGTGTTGACGCCATACCTATTACAAGCACATCCATTGCATTTTACCAATTACAAGTGGCATTTGACATGTTTTACTTGCCAATTACGCCTAGTGAAGATCCGGATCATAGCACTGGTCTTCGGTAGGCCATGCTTGTCGCAAGAGGCGACTATAAAGTGCTCGGGTGGTCAGGATCGCTGACGTAGTTGATGTATGTCTTCGTATCGATGCTCGTGCTATCACCCCCTGGATTGTCAGGTCCAGTATTTACAGACCGCGGCGTTAAACAACAAACAAGAAAAACTTGGCAATTACAAATGTACTATCTATTCATATACTGGCGCCTACGTACTGCAGCAAATCTGTTCAAAGATGAAACAACGACACTGGGTTGGGACACGAGGAGTGAGTGAGTGAGTGTGGTTTTACGCTGCTTTTAGCAATATTCCAGCAATATCAGGGCGGGGGACACCAGAAATGGGCTTCACACATTGTACCCATGTCGGGAATCGAACCCGGGTTTTCGGCGTGACGAGCGAACGCTTTAACCACCAGGCTACCCGACCGCACGAGGACAATCACCTGGACATTGTAACCACCTAGTCATTGCAGGAGTCGTGGATAGGATGCATGGGGACCTATTCTACCCGGGATCCCATACATGGGAACATTTTGTGTTAGTTCACCTATATTCTACCCCGGATCCCATACACGGGGACATTGAATATTAGTTCACCTATTCTACCCGGGATCCCATACACGGGGACATTGAATATAAGTTCACCTATTCCACATTGGGATCCTATACACGGGGACGTTGTATATTAGTTCACCTATTCTACCCGGGATCCCATACACGGGGACATTGTATATTAGTTCACCTATTCCACATTGGGATCCCATACACGGGGACGTTGTATATTAGTTCACCTATTCCACATCGGGATCCTGTACACGGGGACATTTTGTGTTAATTCACGTATTTGTGAAATAATTCTCATCTGAACAAGATGTGTGTTCACTATTCATTCCGTATTTTATTTGTCCTGACTGTGCAAGGTGACACACTTACTACGCCCACGTCAACTGACGTCCGAGAAAGTTTTATTCCAATCACTCAAAACTCAATTCAACTTTTATCATCTACAGCTAACACCTAATTACACAGAGCATTGTCTCAGTTTCACAAATGACACTGATTACAATGTGTACATCTGTTTGTTGTTTAACACCATACTCTGTAAATATTCGAGTCTGGACCAGACAATCAAGTGATTGACATCATGAGCATCGGCTCACACAATTGGGATACGATGACATGTATCAACCAAGTCAACGAGCCTGACCATTCTATGCGTTAGTCGCCGTTTACGGCAAGCATGGGTTACTGAAGTCCTATTCTACCCCGGTTGATCACAGCCTGGAGCAACCATGTTGCTGTTGATCACAGCCTGGAGCAACCATGTCGCTGTTGATCACAGCCTGGAGCAACCATGTCGCTGTTGATAACAGCCTTGAGCAACCATGTCGCTGTTGATCACAGCCTGGAGCAACCAAGTGGCTGTTGATCACAGCCTGGAGCAACCGTGTCGCTGTTGATCACAGCCTGGAGCAACCATGTCGCTGTTGATCACAGCCTGGAGCAACCATGTCGCTGTTGATCACAGCTCAAGGAAAACCATGTCGCTGTTGATCACAGCTCAGGGCTACCATGTCGCCGCTGATCACAGCTCAGGGCAACCATGTCGCTACCGATTACAGCTCAGGACAACCATGTCACCATCAATGACAGCTCAGGGCAACCATGTCACCACCGATCACAGCTCAGGGCAACCGTGTCACCATCAATGACAGCTCAGGGCAACCATGTCACCATCAATGACAGCTCAGGGCAACTATGTCACCACCGATCACAGCTCAGGGCAACCATGTCACCACCGATCACAGCTCAGGGCAACCGTGTCACCATCAATGACAGCTCAGGGCAACCATGTCACCATCAATGACAGCTCAGGGCAACTATGTCACCATCAATGACAGCTCAGGGCAACCATGTCACCACCGATCACAGCTCAGGGCAACCGTGTCACCATCAATGACAGCTCAGGGCAACTATGTCACCATCGATTACAGCTCAGGGCAACCGTGTCACCACCGATCACTGCTCAGGGCAGCCATGTCACCATCGATTACAGCTAAGGGCAACCATGTCACCATCGATTACAGCGTGTTCTCTCTACCACTGCCTGCTTCAGCTCACTTCAGTACATGGTATAGTCAAATAACTGTACTAATTTTCTCTGTGTGTTTGGTTGGAGGTATTAGCCACCTTTCATAAATGAAAACAAAATCCAATCATTAAGTTGCAAGTTTTTATAACACTTATAATCAACAACACACATATCTTTCCCATCTGCTCACACAAATATCCCACACTAAACTAATTCATTCTGATAATGGTGACCCATTTGTTTAATTTGTTCTCACATTTCTTCAAGCAGGCTACAAAAATAGCAATCCTGCTGCACTGAGCTCACAGCCAACCCTTACTTATTACTTTAAACATAAAACAAACACATGCTGCTTTGAACAGTATTCCAGTTACATCAAGGCTTGACAGCTTAACATCAGGAAAGTCTGAAATAGATGTAGGTTTCAGGCATTTACCACTTTGGTCAAAGCCCAAAGGCATGGGTATGATGCTGACAAACCTAGAAACCTAATTGGGCAAGCTGGGTGAGTGTGTGAGTTGGGTTTAACGCTGCTGTTAACAGTATTCCAGTTATATCACGGCAGGTCAGCTTAATGTAATGCAGGTCTCAGACGTTAACCCCTGGGCAAGCTGGGATTCGAACCCACAATCATAAGTTTCTGGCATACCCAAGGGACGCAACTCTGCACAGTGAATCGTGGCGCCTTAGACGACTGGGCCACACATGCCCCCACCTAGTGGTGAGGGACATAATATTGTACAGTGAACTGCAGCACCTTAGACAACCACGCCTGTTATGCCCCCAGAAGCATATGAAAGTGACTTGAAACATGACAATGGAAACTGTTGCCAAACATACATGAAACACCTAGATGTTGCTGACCGACAGCCTTGGCACCCATGCCGCCTACAGCTCATTTTGTTCCATAAACCTTCTGGAGTAGATTTCACACAAACTATTACTACAATCACGCCATTAGATATGTGATACAAACAAGTTGCATGGAAAGCAACCCTTAGTCTCACTGGTTAGCAACGTTAAATATAAACTCACTCAATCACTGACTAAACAACCTTTCATAACCCAATTGATATGAAACAAATGTTCACATTTGAAAGATTTCGATATTTTCCATGACATGTGATTATCACACACCTTATCAAAATATATATGTAAATGATCATAGGAGACCAAATACCTATAAACATCTGATTATTCTTCCATATTAAAAAAATATTGCAGACAATTGGTCATTAATAGAACACAAACAAATACAGCAAATTCTGCAGAATATTACAATTGTTCATTTTACAAATATTTGTACATTTATATAATTATCACATCTCACACTATGCATTTCTTCCATTCTTCTTTCAATCTTTACGTGGAAACATGCTTGAACAAAGTTTCCAGCTTCAAAAAACAATACACACAAACACATCCCAGCATCACCATGGTCACCACCCTGCGACTCAGTGTAATCGTGTGCATAGCAACCTAGACGACCTGATCACATGAATACTCCTGCCACATCATTCTCATTTCTCATCCTCTTATTGTTCAAGCATGTAAGGATCGAAAGAAAAAGGAGGTGAGGTGAAATTGGATTAAACATAGCGTCCAAGATTATTGCACTTATTGCACGTGTATGTGTGTGGCTGCTTGTACAAGTTTCGGACTGATGACGATTTATAGTGCTAGCTCACTGATGACGCAGTTTAACATGAATATCCCACTCAGACACAGTATACTGACTCCGAGCCGACCAGTCCTTGTTTTAGCCTTGTTGCAGAGCGCCAGACAGGGTAACAACAAGTACCATCTTTTAACGTCTTTTGGTATGACACGGCCGGGGATCGAACCCTGGACCTTCCGCTCTCCAGCCGGACACCCTACCACTAGACCACGGAGACGGTGAAAGAAAAAGTAAGAAATTCATAATGTGAGATAGGAATAAGTTTAAAAATGCATGTTATCCATCATCAACTGTGTCTAATAAAAACTATACTCCTATTCACCAAATTTTATAGTTCTTTCCTTTCGTGTCTGACCATCCCGTATTTCCTGCGCCTTCTTCTCGAACTTGTCCGCCAAGCTGGTGCTCTTCTCCACACCCTCTCCCCTCCTGTACATCTGACTCAAGTTGGAACATGCGTACAAATGCCCCATTTCACATGCCTTCTTGGAGAACTCGGACGCTTTCTTCATGTCCTTGGGCACCTGGTCACTGCCCCTGATGTACATGCCGCTGATGTAGTAGCAGCTGGGAAGGAAGTCCTTGTCACACGCCTTCGTGAACATCTTCAACGCTGCCCCCATGTCATCGGGAGGACAGACCTTCTTGCTCCCATGAATCAGGCCCACACTGTGACATGCTGGCATATGGTCGAGGACACAAGCTTTACTGTAATACTTCAATGCCTCTTTTTCGTTCTTTTCCATACCTGCAATGTTTCGATCATTAAATGAGAAATATGTTCATTTATATTTGTATATGACAGCCTATTAGAAAGGATAAAATGCTTTTTCATTAGGAACAATTTTGGTGGTTTTTCTCTCAACTAATTAGCATCTGTACAACTTGAATGAGTAACGTTTCCATGAAATGTTCACAACATGCCTCTTACATTAACAAAGCAGTTCTATTTACATTGAAGTAATTCAAAATTTGGTTGCCATGGTGAAAGGGAGATAATTCATCAGGCAAAAGTAGTTGTGGTCATTTTGTTGAGATTAGATTAACAGATCAAAACTCATCTTTTATTCTTTGAAGATTTAAAGTGCCCTGGTGTAATAAATAGGGCTAAACTTGACTAAAAATTTTCGTGGTCCTTGCACAACGCTTGGAGAAATGGATGGCTATTTTCAAGTGTGAATACAGCCTTTAGGTAATTGAGCTGGGGGTGTCAAGCTTTTTTTTAGGGCGAGTCACTTAAAATACAATGCATTTGTTAATTAAAAATTTAGTCAATTAAATTATTTTTGTTGAAGACATGTCACCAAATTATTAAGATAAAGGGTGTGTATCAACATGATCAGTATGCTTCTAAAAGGGGAGAAGCTCAACCACTCCCACTCCCGATCCATGTTGGATCTTAATTTCCCATTTAACATTATTGCACTTGTATAGCAATGTGCATTTATGTGTGTGTGTGGCTGCTTGAACTAGTCCAAACTTATGCCGGTATTATGGTGCCAGCCCACTGAGATGCGATGCCGCATGTGAACATGGATACCCAACTAGGACACATTACTGACTCTGAGTTGATCAGTCCTTGTTTTAGTCCCTCAATGCAGAACGCCAGGCAGGGAATCAACAAGTACATTTATTGAGTGAGAGTATGGTTTTACGCCGCTTTTAGCAATATTCTAGCAATATCACGGCGGGGGACACAAGAAATTGGCTTCACACATTGTACCCATGTTGGGAATCGAGCCCGGGTCTTCGGCGTGACCAGCGAATGCTTTAACCACTAGGCTACCGGACCGCCCCACAAGTACATTTATTTAATATCTTTTGGTATGACTTGACCAGGGATCGAACCCGGACCTTCTGTCCAGTAAATGTTATGATCAGTTACTTTTCCCTACTTAACATGGCAGCACAAATACCAGAAATATCTATCTGAAATGTGAAATGCCTGGTTCTATGACCACGGCCTGGTATGTCCGTGGGCTAACTTAATGATATGTTTCCCTTACATAATAGGGCTGGGACGATACACCAACTGTGAGATCTGATACGTATCATGATACCTTACTCACGATCCGATATGTATCACGATACTTGCATGTGCTCTTATCTGTGGTGCGTAAGCCATCTTTTTCATAGACAGCATGGCAAAATACCTGGCCCACTGATGATTTACAGTTGGCAGTGTCAAGTAATGCACAAATGAAAATATTTACGTTTCCACTATTAACATACACTACTGATTTGTGTTTAGTGGAACAGTTATTAAATCAAACATATGAAGGTGAGAAACGATATTTTTTACTTAGTGTGCAACTGTGATCGATACTTGTATCGAGAAGTAAAAAGTCACGATCCATCGATGCATCGGTGCATCGTCACACCACTAATATATAAGCACACAGGTTATTGATCTTTGATTTAGTGTCAATAGTATTGAAATGTCTTTTCAATTCCTTGGCTTCAACCAAGTTTTGTATATGTGAATCATGGTTTGTCATGTAAAAAATATGATAATGACAAAGAGGAGGAACAGAGTGCCACTATTTCATATCCCACAATACCGCAGAGTGGAAGTCATGAGAGACAGTACATTGATGCATAGTAGGTATAATCTGAGACATCTGTAGCAACAAGACTGAGGGACTGACGACCGCCATTTCATATACCTCTTCCCATGATGTTATAGTTGGCGTACTTGTAACAGCTGACGCCATAGTTGCTCTCCTCACAGTTCGTCTTGTATACAGCGGCTGCCTGCTTGAAGTCCTTCCTGATGCTATCCAGGAAATCAGCAAGACGCTGACATCCTACAAAATTAGAAGAAGTTGAATACCAGAGGCGCACAGTAATACCGATACAACACAATTTGAAATACTAATGAGTGAGTGAGTTGGGTTTAATGGCTTTTAACAAGGGCTGGGACAGATAACTCGGGTACTCAGGTCGGGTGGGTACTGAGTAGGACCCGGGTACCCACAGGACTACCCGGACCCGTGGTTAGTCACGTGATTATATTGTTTGATGGCAAACAGTATCTAGAACTCTATGGTTACACTATAAGTGACAATATTCCCATTTCTTTCCGACTCTGCACACATTCCTTCTGACTTCTGATGTTTGCATAAAGATAAAACTTCAGTCAACTTCAGTGTATGCACGACCAGATCATTTTAGACATGTACATGTGTATCTAAATACAGGAGTACGGTCAAACGTTTCCCAAATCAGACATTTTGTACCTATCTCTTGAGACCTTTAGCGGGTACCCGGGTAGGGTCGGGTAATAGGGAGGTTCATAACAAAGCACACATGCAGTATTATTTGGTATCTACCACGATACATGAATCTTTATTGCAATACAAAAGTCTGGCTAATACCCATCATTATTTAATACAGTAAACTAAGTTTATAACAAAAACACCTATAATTGACAGATATAACTGTTTTTTAAGTCCCAGACATTTGCTGTATATGTGAATATAACGAACTGCAGTTATAACTAACTAAAATTAGTGTTCCCTTTGAGTTATAACTGTAGTGTACTGTACATCATTTCAAATTTGGACTTTATGATTTGGAGCATCAATCGTTTACATGGCAAACCATGATTAAAATTTACAAAACTGGTTTTAGTATTAATTTTTAACAAAGCTGAATATGTTTTCCACATATATGTACACAGATTATTGATCTTTGATTTAGTGTCAAAAGTTTTGATGTGACTTTTCAATTCCTTGGATTCAATCAGGTTTTGTACTGACCACTACGATGCTTGAGAAGTGATTTTTAATGGTGCATTCTTTGTCTTTGATCTAACCTGACTGGGGAAAATATCGGACTACAGTCTTTTCACTGTACCATCACACTTGATCATTGTTGATTACTTCAATGAATAATTTTTTAAACTCAAAAGAAATAATTATGTAATGTACATTTGTTTAGGTTTAAATATTAAGAAATAAATTATTACAGTATATCGTAAGAGATTTATTCTCCCACTCAGACATTTATTTCCCTTGCAGGCAGGATACATAGTATTTGATCAAGATCACATGAACCAATCAGACAAGGGCTTTTAACTAGTTGTTTTTATTTTTTTTAAGTTGTCCTTGCCTTACATTATAGTGACACAGGTCACACACCAAGTTAACTGTATTGGTCACTTGTATGTATCTGTAGGAGAAATGACACACTTATTAAATCATGTAAGTTTAATGAATAATTGCAAATTACATAGTAGAAACGATTGAAGCGAAAACGCTTTTTTCCATTTGTTGTACCTAAGTGGACATTGTTTAGTCTCTTCAAGGCAGCCACTACAGGTTCTATTTTTTGTCTGGGCAAAGATTTCATTAAAAATAACATGATATATAGTTTGAAATAGAACATATTTGCACTCAAAGCCTGATATATCTGTATATGTCATTATGTGCATTTTATTTGCTTAGGCAGTGGTAGTACCATGTTGCTCTCTCACTCCACTAGTGAAAACTAGCTTGTACAATAAGTCACATGTAGCCTGTAGGCCTAATTAGCAGAAATCATTGTACACAAATGCATCTGTTCACTTCTTTAGGAAGTACTAAAACATAGTATCGCACGTGGAGCCCGGAGACAACTTGTTTCGAATCTGTTTTAGTTCACTATGAATGAAGTACTGCTCTAATTTATTCTAAATTGGTAACACTCCAACAAATTCAGTGGAACTTTAGAAATAGCCGCTTAGTAGGCCTAGACCTTCGGGTTCCTTTTCCTTGTAACACTGAAATCTGTATTCAATGTCGAGAGTTTTGAGGTACTCTTGAGCTTGCTTCTCGTCTTTGAAATCGTACTGCATTTTGATTTATCATGGGTCAAGGAGAGTCTCTTTTCGTTTTTTTCTTGCAGCGAAGGGCACCTGTGAACATGCCGCGAGTTACCGAACCTGATCGAAGGAAGTTACGTCACAAACTGGTGCAAGCCGGAAGAAGAAGTCGCCGCTAGGTGGCAGTTCGCGCCTTCTAAACGATTGGGAAGCGGCTGCCATAGGACTAAAATTTCACCGTTTCATCAATTTTCTCTTAGAGACTGCAAGTTGTACGGACATATTTCCTTATATGTGAGTATTAATACCTAAAACAGAAATAGAATCAACTGTCGCTGATAATTTAGTCTATTTTGCCGTCTCAAATTCTGATGGGATATGTTTACATTTTCACTTGACATTCATTTTCCATTTTGGCAGGTGATCGCTTTACTAATATAGAACAGACGAAACAACTTAAATAGTGTCTATCCGAGGCTAAACTAGTGTGGTATTCCATTTGACATAAACTCCTATGATTAATTAAATATGAATAATGCCATATTTGATGTTCTTGAATTGCTCAGAATATATGTCGCATTAAATGACATTTCATTTTAGCAAAACTCCATTTCTGTATTATTATACAGAGGAAACTACATCACCAACATGCCTTCTCAACGTGCATTATATTATGCGAAAATACTCATCTTAGCAGTTTTTCATTTATGATAAGAAATTGTGGGACCGAAATCGCATATGGTAAGAGTACTAGAATTAGGTTAAGCTTTCACTTTCCCTGTCTTTGACATGTTTTATGTTCTGTCTAATTGATGACATTCATATAGCTGTGAAACGTTACATCATGCACGGGTGCAGCCGTTAACCGAGCACTGTTGCAGCAGCAACACGGTCACATTTATTTTTGTCTATCAAATATTGCAAAATGTGTTGTAAATAGCGTTTCCAGTTCACTACATAAAATAGCTGCTACGAACATGTGTCTACTGCTAGGTTTTTCTTTTGAACCTGCTCAAATACATGTAGTCAAGAAGTTTCCTCATAATTTCATGTAAACATGGGTATTGTGATTCGTATCGTGATACGTGTCGTAATCTGATCTTGCTGAATCATTTCACCCCTACATTTAACTAGAATTAAGCATTTGTCTCATCTGCCAGTTATGTGACATTGGACGTGGTGGATGCCCACATGAGGTATTCTTTGGATCATGATAAAATGGTTACGTTAATGTTTTTTGAAAAAATATAAATACTATGGATATTCTCTGCTTATTAAGTGATGTCATGGCTGTGAAAGTTTGCAGAATATTACTAGTGACATACATTTTGCAGTGTTGATAATGTTGAAGCTTAGAAATTTTGATCGTCACATGAAATCGCTATTGCACTAATAGATCTGAAAGTGTATCATGTAGATCTCCCAACTGAACCCCATTGTCTTTCCGACCAGTAGGGATTCCCAGGTTCATTAGTTTAATATTTTCGACGGCTGTTTGTTGCTTGACCTTTAATTAATATCAAGTAATATTTGCACTGCCATGACAGAAACCTCAACTACATCATACTTATGTAGGATTTGCAATTAGCTGTAGCATGTATGTAATGTTCTAAAAACCTGAAAGGTAACTTCAAGTCAAATACAGACTTTCTGTTTATAAATGAACAACTACTGTCCTTGCAAGTGCTATCACTAGTATGTATATTTTTTCCAGTGTTATTGGTTTCTTTTGTAAACAAACTGATTTTATCACCAAAGGCAATAAGCTTTTAATTATAACCACTGATTGTAGTATGAAATATTTCATAAAGTATTGTTATCGGGTATGTTTTGGCATATGTATGAACATGATGTTAAAAGAAATATTGATATAAACCCCTGAATTGTAAGTCAATGTGTTCAGTGTTGAAATATGGGGTATAAATGGACATGATTATGGTTTGATGTAAGCATAGTTTATGTTGTCATTACACCACAAGAACATTTATGAATGAGAATTAGGTATTTCAAATAGTGTTTTATTGTAGAATTCATATTTTGATTTGAAAGTTAAGTGTTTGTGCATCATTCGAGTGCAAAATGCGATAGAAAAGTTTATAAATAATGAAAATTGGTGTATTGATTGTTGAAAAAGAGAAGCAAATTCAGTGATGTTCCTGCAATTCTGTGGTAACCTTTCAGTGGAATCGTAGAATTCGCCTGGGGCTGCCCAACAGACTTTTTTAAGTTTAACCGTAAAACTCCTTAACCATACAAAAATATGATGTTACAAACAAATGCGACTGAAGTGTTATTGCCATGGTATACATGATTTATGTCATTGACTTTATTGATGGGCAAATAATACATTTTAGCAATAATAAACTTCAAACGATTATTAATTGTAAAACTTTGAAATCGAACATCAGTTTGTATATTTTTCAAATGGTTATGAATTCTCATTAAACCGTAACCAGTTATCTGAGTAATTGTGGCGGATATTCTTTTGACTGAATGGTATTCATAAATTGTCAAAATAGGTTATGATAACAATGGTTTATCAAAGGTTAATGTTCTTGTGCCATTAATCTCTTGTAAAAACCACTGCCATAATATCATTATCGCCGTGTGTTGGTAGTAGGTCGATATACCACTTTATGTTGTCAATCCATACAAAGGCATGTTCTTGCTTCTTAAATTAGTCATGAAAAGTATGATTTGATGTTATTGAACAGTGATACACGATGACACAAAATGACTGTTCTTATTCCTGTTTAGGTTTAGGATGTGGAATGTCTGGACAAGGAAGTAATCATTTCAGTGGAACCAAGTTAATGTGAACAGTCTTGTTTTCAGCCAAAATGCCCCATATAGTGAACTGTCTGGACTACTGGGACAAGTGTCTCGGTGAAGAGATGCTGCTATAATTAGCTGTATGTTGCAACCAGAATAAGATGATACCAGTCAAGATAGATACAAATTAATTAAATTGATATAAAAAGTAAAATACAGCAACATGGGCTTTGGCAGCACTTGATTAATTCTTTGTCAACAGCTTGGTAATTTTACTTAACTGTGACAATGCCATGTCGTCTTGTGAGGATGTTTTGATAGCTTATAGCAGGATTTTGGCATGGTTAAAGCTAGTGCTATCGTTATTGGAAAATTAGTATCGATATATATTGACCCAGAAGCCCAATATATTAATTTATCAATTAATAATAATTCTGTATGTGTATAGACACAAGTTACCTATGTCGACCTGCAATTATGAACTAGGCCGATCCTTTTATGTTAAAATTACAATTTTCTGCCTCCTCATTGTCAATCTTTACCAGGGTAAACTTAATGAATGTTAAGATTTCTGTGGCAGTGGATTGTTAATTTAGTATTGATATTCTTAAACATGTGTTTTTATTGATACATCAGTATTTTCATGTACGATGACATTTCAGTAGTTGAGGCAGTATTTCATTGTCTTTAGCCAACCCTTTCCCATCCAAATTTAGCAAATCTCAAACCTTATAGTAAATTCACTTTCTGCCCCTGTGACAATTTATGTTCCAACAAGACAACTCACCACAATTGGAAAGAGCAACATCCAGATTATTGGAGTCCTGTCTTACAGGATATGATTGCATTGCAGTTCAAATGAAACGTGAATGATACACTGTATTTTACTGGAATCACTACTGGACATGATGCACAATTATGTATCCATTGTTTACAGGAAAAAGATGTCTCTGATAAATATGCATCAAAGTTGTTGCCTTCAGTTTGAGTTCTGTGGGTGTGACAACCGTCAGGAAAACATATCATGATAAAAGGAAGCTGCAACTGTTCAGTGATGAGCCGAAAACAAATGTTTCTGTGTGCAGCTGTAGAAAAATTGCCAGTCATCATCAGGACACGCGGTCTTTTGAAGCTACATGCCCTGACTGAACTCTTCAAGCCCCCATTTATTAAAACTGCAGCTTATTGTGACAAATAAATAGGCACATTAATTTGCTGTGGGCCATAAGGACTTGCTCAAATTTGAAACTATGGCCCCAGCAAAATATCTACAAGCCATGGGGACCAACAGGCAGGCACTTTTTTGAAACTTTGATCTTGAACATGAATCAGGGTGCGAAATTAACATACTAAAGAATAGTTAAATTCAGGGTGGACTAGTGACATTTTCTTGTGGACTTTTACCATTCATAGATGGAACCTTGTAGCAAACAATTATGTGTAAGGTGTAAAAACTTATCATTTTCTGACAGTGTCATACACAAAACAACATGATAAGTTATGATAGAAATATTTTACACCATCAATCAGTTAAGTCTCCCAGTCATCCTGGGTCTTACATGATGTATGAATCTGTGTCCAGTACGCACATATGTATAGAATGGACACAGAAAAACAAAACAAATATTGCATCCTTAGGGATGCACATTAATATTCATAGTACCAAATACTTGACAAGAAAAATAAAGGCCTTTTAATTAAAGTAATTATCAAATCTTACAATACTTTGCATTACAATATTCCAATACCTTACAGGACCCTGACATTAATTATTTGGGACCCCTGGTTTTGTGGGTCAAGGTAAAACCTTGCAGTCATCAATTCCCATATGTTGGCATCATTTTCAGACTTTAGAATAGAAATATTACTAGACCCTGGTCGTGTTGGGAATTGGTTGTAAACTGTTCTGTTTAGTAAAACAAAACCACGCCTGACAACAGTGGTGTGCTTGCCCATAGGCCTGTGGCAGGTAGATCTTGTGTCGGGCCGTAGTTTCAAATTTGTGTGTGTGTGTGGGGGGGGGGGGGGTCCTAAAAAATTAAGGGGCTTGTCAAGTTAAGTCAGGGCCTGCAGCTTCTAAAGTCTTGTCTTGATGATAGCCTGGCAGTTTATTTTATTTCAAACACTGCCTGACAAACACAAATGTATCTCTTTTCACCATGAGAATGTACTTACAAAGTTGTATAATTTGTTTTTTGTTTTTGTTTGCAGTGGCAAGGTGATACATCCAGGACATCTACCATTTCTACCAAATTCTTCTCACACACCCTTTCAATATGTGAAAGTTGTCAGCTTTACCCGCTCCAAAATCATGTGAACTCTACATCTAAATCAAGTTTCCATCATATGAACGGTAGTACTGAGAATACATAGGAAATGTGAAAACTAAACTTTTAAAGTGAACATAATGAGTTTGCCATCAGAATCTGGTGCTTTTGAACAGGCGTTTGAAGCCTGGCTGAACCAGTCCAAGGATGGGGACGGAGACAGTGACACTGAAGATGAGGTGATGTTGGTAGATACAAACAACAACAGCGATACTGACACTGAGTTGTCTCCCTTCTCGTCCTATCCATCTCCACTGTCAACTCAGATGAACCCAGCAAATCTAGTCAGCAGGCGTATGAAGTCCACCACCCGACAGCGATTTCATGCATATAAGGCAGTCTTAAAGAAATACTCCCGCAAACGATGGGTCCGCTGTAAGAAGAGCCTCAGCCCTGGCAGCCAGACAGATGACAGCGGAGTTGTGTCCCCTGGATGTGATGCGTCTGTGGGGATGGGAAAGGACATGATGTTGGAAGAAGAGAGTGAAGGATGCCTTAGTGGTGATGACTCGCCACCCAACATCCAAGATGACTTCTCCAGCAGTAATTGTTGGCCCCCAGACATGCCCTACTCTCAACACCTGGATGGTAATTTCCATGAACATCCCCCTGAACTCACCCCTAGCCTACAGCTCCCAGATACCACCACTGCCTCTGTGCAGGGAGGGGACGCTTCACTCAGTCACCAATCAAAATCAGTTGGGGATTCTCATCAATCATCAGTGAAATTCAAGAAACAATCATATCCTAAATCAAATACAGTCGGTGATAAAATGTGCAATTCCTTATTGGAAACATATGTTTTCACTCCCAAAGACAATCATAGATCCAAGAAAACAGGCAGCAAGCACTGCCTAGCTTCTCTTTCTGCCTCAGAACGGGAAAAGTCGGTGAGAAGTAATGGCTGCCATCAGTTGGAATCTGCCGGCGGGGAACTGGTCACAAGCAAGATTGATTCATGTTCAGGTATTGGTTTGGGCAAAAAGCCTGATGGTGGAAATCTGTGTATTGAGCGGACTTTGTCTGCAGGTGTTGACTGTGACAGCACTGGTTATGTGTCTCGGAATGGCTGTGAAATAGGTGCCAGTGACTCAGGCGCTGGTTCACAGAGTGAGAGTTGTTGTGAGGAAAGTCCACGTCATGAACACGACAATCATGTCTCTGGTCATACAAAAAGTCCGCAATTTTCTTGTGATAGTCATCGTTTTACTGTTATTCCCAGTGACCTCACGAATAAGACGAACAGTAATGGTAGTCCACCCCTTGTGTTGAAGCTGAAAAAGTGTGAGCGGAAATCAAGCATTAAAAATTCTCCACCAAAATATTTTGCTGAGGTGATTGATAAAAGGGAAGCACAGCCACAGATCAAGAAGCCTGAAACAGAACTTGTTGAAAGCAAAGTGTTTCAAAGTCATTCCCAGGACACTCACAAGTGCCACGAAAAGGGTGGCTCATCTAGAAGCAAACGTTTAAAGGCAGGCAGAAAAAATAGTTCCTCCTGTCAATGTTGTGTCAGATCAAAGAGCCCTGCCAGAAGGAAACGCCACTCCAGGTCTCATAGCGAGTGCAGTGTGGTATCAGTCAGTGGCAAAAACTCACTACAAGCTCATGAACGAAGATTCGTGCGTCATTGTCTGTACCTGTCCAATCTGCAGACGAAACTTCACACCCTGTTCTGCCACCTGTTTCCAAGGTTACAACCAGTGCTATCAAAGGTTGCCCCCGAGGGGCGACACTTTTCAAGAATTGTTGATGACATTATCCTGCTGTTGCAGCAGGCTGAGGCAGAGGATGATGTGAAAGACTCCGAAGAGCTGAGCATGGAGTTGGAGAGTTTGACTTTATTGGGGGTTAACTCTGGGGTGCCTGTATTTGAAACTTGTGTTAGTCTGTGTCGGTCTCCCGATGTGTGCTTGGAGGAGTTCAGAGAGAAGGTGTTTCTCCTGATTCAACTCATGCTGCCTGAGCTGACCCTGAGCATCGAGAACAACTGCTACAGATCACACCGGGACCTAGAAAAGTTCCTGGACAAAGTCATAGCCCAAAATAAGAACAAAACATGATTATTTGTGCTGATTTGATGCATGTTTCAGGCTTTCATCATGGTCAGAATAATTACATAGTCCTTAACAGGGTTGGAACAAAACACAAAAACCTTACTAGTCTGGGTAAAGATAAAATGAATGCCCTTGTAATGTTAAAACAATGGGGAAATTTGTACTATCCTGCAGGAGATTTGTACCATCCTGCAGGAGTTTGTACCATCCTGCAGGAATTTGTACTGTCCCACAGGAGTTTGTACCGTCCCGCAGGAATTTGTACCGTCCCACAGGAATTTGTACCGTCCCACAGGAATTTGTTCTATCCCAAAGGAATTTTTACCGTCCCACAGGAGTTTGTACTATCCCACATGAGTTTGTACCATCCCGCAGGAATTTGTACCATCCCACAGGAATTTGTACTATCCCACAGGAATTTGGACTGTCCAACAGGAGTTTGTACCATCCCGCAGGAATTTGTACCGTCCCACAGGAGTTTGTACTATCCCACATGAGTTTGTACCATCCCGCAGGAATTTGTACCATCCCACAGGAGTTTGTACTATCCCACAGGAATTTGTACCGTCCCACAGGAGTTTGTACCATGCCAAGGGAATTTGTACTAGCCCAGGCTGGCGGTCTAATGTTATGTTCTAACCCTGCTTAGATATATTTTTGTTAGAAAAAAATAGACTCAACATGTTAACAACAACAAGGCTCCAGACATAATTTTGATACTTATCCTTACTCTTGTCTCTAATATTTCTTTGTATTATGTAGAGGCTATACTTGTTTGTAACAGTAGCCCTACATCTCGGCATCTTCTATATACAATTAAACTTCTTGACTGAAAGCTGCAAATACCAAATGATTTTCCTGTTAGCTTTTCAAGTTTAAATTTATTTGTTAATCTATAAATATTTCTTTTCGGAAAGAGAAATGCCTTCACCATGTTTGGGAGATATCGCATCTGATTGTTACTACCATGATCAGCAAATGATCAGTAGACATTGTTATGAAGCGTCTATGACAGTGCTGATGACAGCCCTTGTTCCCGTTAAAGTGTTTTATCTGGTTATATCTCCATGCAACTGTTTGTAAATCTGTGTTGTATGTCAGTGTATTTATAATTAGCATCCTAAGCACTTGCCTTCAACTTGTTAACCTGTTAATTTGACTTATGAACATAATGAAGATGCCTGGTCTGTCCGATTTTTACAAGTCATACTGGCTTGTCATACTGTATATATTTGAACTTTGGTACATCATTACTGTTTGAAAATGACTACATTATAAACATAGAGACAAAATAATTTTTTTACCTTTTGCTGTAGATTAGGGTAGTAAAATATTTGCTGTTATATTCATATTTGATGCTGTAGATTTTTACCTTTCATGTGTTGTAGCTCACCTGAATGCAAGTCAAGTGAGCTTATGTCATGGCCTGTTTGTCTGTCATGTGTCGCCCATTGTCTGTCGTAAACATAATCTCAGGAACCACCTGAAGTTGATACTCCACATGCATTTCCCACCAAGGATACATACATATGCGAAGACGGGAATCCCTTTTACACCATGGCTCCACTGCAACCTCATTGAAAGCCCTGTTAACTCACTTTCATTTCAAATTTGGTAATTAGATACTAATGGACTCACACTGTGTTCCATAATTCGTAATATGCTTTGGTTTGACCTTCACTTTAACATACTGAAAAATACTCTCAAAATGCATGTTTTTCTGTAGGGGTGAAACGATACACAAAGGTTACGACACGGTATGTATCATGATACATAGTTTGCGATTTGCATATTCTCATCAAAACGTGTGGAAACTTCTTGACTATTATCATTTCAGAGCAGGTTTAAAAGGAAAAGCTAGCTGTAGGCACGTTTGTAGGGGCTATTTTTAGTAGTGAACTTGAAACACTATTTATTAAACGAGTGGTAAATAATGTATTTTAGAAAGTGTATGGTATTGATACAGTAAAATATGTATCGTGTATCGTTTCATCGTATGAAAACATGCTTCACAGATGCATCTTTTCACCCCTTTTTCGCGTAACCCCAAACCACGAGTGGGTGATTATCACGATGAATGTGTGTGTTTGACCCTCTACAAAGCATGTTACTCATGTATAAGTGTGCAATGAAAATGATGTAAGGTTGTCAGTTGTGTAGAAAGGTTTGTTGTTTCTGTTGATCCTCGTTATCTTCGGCTGATTGTGTGTCATCGTATCCTGATGGAGTGATTGTTGCTGACATTATCGATTGTCTGATAGGCTCATACATTTACAGGCCATCGGCATATGGGTGGAATATTGCCGAGTGTTGTGTTCAACAAGAACCAAACATCACCCTTGATTCCTGCCGTGTACACCCAGCATGTCAATAACATCCTTATACAGAAAGATAAAGAACTAACAACACAAATTTGAACAGAGCAAGAATTAATTATGTGACATCACCATATATTTTCGCCACCATTGTGACACCACAGTTGAAAGGTGAGCTGCAGAACCTATTTTTTTGTTAATTTGGCATAGAGCTGCCAGGGTTGGTCAACCCATTTTTCACTGATGTTGTTTTACAAGGTTATGTATGTAAAAGTCCAGCAAAACAGTTCCCCTTAGTCCCAGTGTTAATACATCTGCAGATTTATGCTTTGTCTGTGTTGCAATTGAATCATGTCGGAATGCATACCCAGATTATTAGCAGCACACAAGTATGATCAAAATACTATCATTTATTTATTTCAACCTCTACATGTAGTTCATATATTGTAATTACCAAGGAAACAAATCGCGATTCATTTTTGGTACATTGTCACATGTTTCCCAATAACTTGACAAGGGGCACAGAGAAAGGAAGTGTGTTGCTTCTTATTTTTAGTCCATTATGTTTTTTAAGAACTGTTTCATATCAGATCTCTTGTTTCATGTGAATTTAAGAAATGTGGCAAATGATATTGTGATATAAATTGTCTGCTGTTGTGTTGTGTCAGTACTGCACATTGACCTGAGCTCACAATGAGTTCCCATAATGCTTTTTGTACATCACACTTGTTTCATACTTGGATGCTTTTAGGACGCCACCAATACCAAAAGCGCTCACCCCACCCACTCCACAAGTTTCATACCCTCATTCAAAACATTACAGCTGTGGTTCGCTTTTAATTTGATTTCCTCTGCACCCTATTTACAAACTTCTAAGCTCCTTTTCTAAAAATAAAATGGATTTGTTTGAATTTTGAAAGTATTCATGGATAGAGTTGGCGAGAGGCAATGTTTTCCTGGTAATAAAAGTTTTGTATAATCTGTCCTTTGATAATGGAATCATGTTGTATCACGTGCAGGGCACAGAATATGATTTCCTATGCACTCACATCTCTGGATGACATTGTTTTCTTTAACATGCTAAGACTGAATGCTGAAATCATGATTATTATAACAAAGTTACTAAATGTGAGCTACTTATATTACTTCATCTGAATGCAGCCTTTCTTGTGTCATTGCCAACTTGGAGGTTGATTTCTGGATGTCCATGACAATTTACAAATTTGGTGTGTTCTTTACAGGTAGATACACCACCCCATGGGGGTTCACGGTAGAATTGGTAACCTCGAGACCTAATGCTGCTTGCAAGAGGCAGCCAAATAGACTGGGTGGTCTGGCTCAGCGACTTGGCTGATAGTCCTCTTGCCCAGTCGTGACTCGTTAGCAGTATCAATCACTGGATTGTCTGGGGCACGGGTGGCCTACTCATCTAAGGTGCCGCGATTCGCTGTGCAAAGTTGTGTCCCTTGGGCACGCCAGAAACCTATGATTGTGGGTTCGAATCCCTGTTCGCCTCGATTATGTTTCTCGGTTTGTCAGCACCATACCCGTGCTCGTGGGTTTCACCCAAGTGGTAAACGTCTGAGACCTGCATCACTTCGCGCTTTCCGCCCAAATTAAGCTGACACTGCGATATAACTGGAATACTGTTAAGAAGTGGCTTAAACCCTACTCACTCACTCACTGGATTGTTTGGTACAGATTTGGTTATTTACAGGCCACTGGAATATTTCTGAGTGCGGTGTTAAACAACCAACAAGCAAAAAGATAAATTCACTATAGACTTCAATGTATCTACATTCTGTTAAACGTATGAAGGTCACTTATGTTGAGAGAATTTGTTTCACTTTCAAATTAACCAAGACAACCTTACATGTAATTACTTCATCTGATTAATGTGTGCTTTCATGTTGTTTGTACTGAGTAGTCAGTTCATGAACTCTGGAGAGCACCTGAATTGTCTGCTCAACACATCCTCACTGGATAGGCCTCTACTTAATTGATAAGAAGTTTTGTTATCTTCATGATCTAGATTTGGTTTTGATATTGACATACCAGCCATGATCAAATTACCCTACCCTTTGTTCTTTATGTTGCTGATAACTGATGATAAAGTAACACAGCCATTAGCAATTCATTTGTTTGAATCTCAACATTTGTTAAGTGAATGTACATTGTCGTGGGTTTACTTTCACTTGCAGCAGGAAGGGGTACATTGTCCATGACACCTGTCCTTGTGTTGGACATTTATGGAATCATGATAGTGAATGTATTTCTTAGTTCATAATCAAAAATAGATTTGAAGGATATTTTTCTCAGATGAAAGAAACTTGGTCTGTGGGTATGTTTTACCTTGTTACTGTGTGAATGTATAGTGTGTAAATGGCAGACATAAGTACACGTCCACTACACTAAGTGTTCCATCACTCCATGTCAAAATAGTGCTATGATTAACACCGACTGTTTCTCTCCTGTCATATCTGTGTTCAAGGGAATATATAACTTCTTGTTTTCTGTTCCCCCCTGGAAACAATAAAAACATATTTGCTATTATTTTGTAAACGTCAATGGGACTCTCATAATCTGATACAGTTCCTTGGTATGAAATCTTTAATTTAGATTGTCTCTTAAAATAATGTAATCAACAAAGTTTTTCACAAATTATTGTCCAATGTCAATATCTATACAATATGTTGTCACCATGGTTACGCAATGTTTGTTTCATTATGGCAGATGTTTCAGTCCAAGAGTCTGTCTTAGCCTCTGTTGAAGATACATTCAGGCCACAGCTGTTATTGACTTTAAACTTGCTTGTACCACCAGCTTCATGCAATGTTATTTTTGTGTAAAGCAGTTGCTTCAGAGTTGTTACTAGATTCACTTGTTTACCCGACGTTAAATATAAACATTATATCCGTGTAAATACCATTTTACTTCATCATCTGCATTAATTTTGGCAGTCATTGCCTTCATTGACTTTTATAAAAAAATATACAAAATTTATGTATAAACCTATTGATTGTCATTATGATGTAATGTCTATCAGAGTAGCTTATACAAATTTGGAAGACCTATAGTTATTGTTAATTTCCAAGTTAAATATCTGGTTTAGTTATTGTAATGAAATAACTACCACTGAGATCCACATTTAATGTTTAGGAGGAAAAGTGTGTAGTAAATATAACGTAATTTAATTATTTTAAAGGTGAAAATGGACATTTTCTTTGTTTAATTTTTTAGATGTTTAGTGATTTGGGTGGTGTTACTCTGTTGCTAAGAAACCAAAGTTACAAGAGCCAATGCTTGAGATTGCAAACGTATAGTGCTGGGAGCCTGTCCGCAAGATGAGAGCCTTGGTCACGTGGTTGTATTGGCATGAGTGTCTGAATTACTCTAACCTTTTGCCAAATTCCGTACAGATGTTCCTGAAAGAAAAAGCTGATCTGGCCTTGTAACAAACATTCAAGACTCGACTAAGAAGTCTGTAATAAGCTGATTTTGATGTTGGGTAAACCCTGACCTATTAACATTGTAGAACCTTTACCTCCAAAAAGTATAGTACGTTTTTGGTCTTTTGGTTTGGAGTTTAATGAAGGGATTACGTGACTTTTTGTAGTTGTTATTATTCTCTTTTTGGGGGAGGGGACGCATCATTTTAATTACATTATTTTTCAAAAAATAAATGCAACACTTTCCCAAATGGTAAAATCGCATACTTGCAATTTTTTGAAAGCATGTAAAGTTACCCACCCTAAGTAATAAATATAAATAATGGAAAATTAAAATGGTTCATGTGGATGGTTGAAATTGGCATGGTTGGGGACGATAAACTTAAGCTTTCTCCTTTTCTTTTACTTTCTAAAACTGGTCACATAAATTGAGTCACAATGTGTAGTTTCTACTGTCCCTTGGGATATACCAATGGTTCTTTGTGTGAAAGGGAATACCACTACAGCCTCTAGATAAGACACATTGCCATTGGGGAATAACATATATTTCATATATGTGGTAGATATGAAGCTTATGATTATTTATTATCAAAGTTTGCAAGGCCCATGTTAATGATCCAGTGCTAGGTACTGTTAGGCAGATTGGATTGTAGATAATACTGACTGGTTCGAGGGTGTACATTGTTGTACAGTGTGGTTGGAGGTTGTACGTTGTTTTACAGTGCAGTTGATGATGTCAGTTTGACTAGAGGTGCAGTGTACATAAAATAAATTATGGTAAGCTTGTTGACATGCCCTCATTGGCTCAGGCCGACATGCTTGGCGCAATTGGATACATTTAACAAGAAGGGTGTTCTATAGAGGCAAGGTTATCCTGACTAGTTCTATGTATTGTTAGCAATCCGGTATATTTTGGAAGTTATTGCTTTGATCTTGCAGTTCACCCTTCATGACTCAAGTATCTAATTGTGCCATGCATGGTGTTGATATTGTTACCATGGTTACAGTTGCTTTGCCCCTGCCTTGGTCGCCAGTCTCCCTTCTCCTTCTTGGCCCACGTGCACAAAACAATCTTAGCGCTAAGATTATCGTAACTCCCATGCTTTAACCTAGGCTTACGAGTCATAACGCTAAGATCGCTTTGTGCAAGTGGGCCCTGGAGTACCCTGTGATATGACCAACATAACCTGACTATGTGATATGAACCCGTATAACACCCTTCCTTCCCATCTGAGCATGCTACATTAAATGTGACTCACTCTGGCTGTACAAACTGTTTCCTGTTGATCATGTTACTGTACTGGTGGATTATATCCAAGAGACTAATGTATGTTAAATTTATCTCGATGTACATTGGGTGTTTTTCCTTATGTGTTGAAATGTGAAAATTCTTAGCTCTCATTCTGTGTAAATATTCAACATGATGTAAGTAGTAAATCATTGGAAAACCTACAGATGTGTTTTTTCTCTGTATCCTGTTTCTTCAGCATTGGTCTTGAAACTGCCTTACTCAGAGGGATGTTTGCTTGTTTTTTTACTATGCATTCCCATGTATTTTTGCTCCATTGTGGTGGCCTGTAAACAATCAATTCTGGACCAGGCAAACCAGTGACTGAAAGCATGGGTTATTACACAGTGAACCAATTCACAGAGCCTGACCACCGATTCCCTTTTTAGTCAGCTCTCACAGGAAGCTTGTAGTACTGACCAGCATCCTCATGGGTATGCTTGTGCAGTGATTAGACACATTTGGAACAGCAGCTGTGTACATCAGGGAAACTGCAAACAACATGCTGATAAAACACAACATTATGCACAAGACCCAACTTCCCACACATTGTAAATACTAAAAGCGCAAGATGGATAATTTCTCAAAATTCTTCCTTATTTAGAGAAAGTATTATTGTGTGATCTTAACTTGGCAGTCCCAATAGTGAAACAGGACTGTATGATGTCCAACATCAATTCAATACAATCCGAAGTTGAAAGTTAAATTGTTGTGCACAAACCATTGCAGGGAGATGTGAATGCAATTTGAATTTTGTGAATTTTTTTATACATTTTATATCACCTTTTCCCTGTTACATGAGGAGGATGGCCATCCAGGGCAATGGTCGTCCTCACATTCTGAAGGCAATGTATGTATACATTTGGGAAAAATTAAATACAAATATTGGAAATGGTGCCAAGGTGATTTTTAAGAAATATAACAAAACATACACACAGTCAAGCATTCAAAATATTATTCAAACACTGATCCTGGCAAGAAACAAATATGAGAAAGAGATACATATGTTATTGCTGTTCTGCTTCTTCAAACAATATATGATAAAAGATCCATGATTTATAAAATGTTGCTACATTACCATTTGTAAAGGCTATATTCTTCTCAATTTTGTATCTCAGACAAACATCTTTCTTAAATATTGCAAAGCAAAGATTTGTTTTTTTTTAATCTACAGAAATATATAACAGATTTAGCTATTAAAATAAGAAGATCAAAAACTTGGTCAGTAACAATATTTTCTTTAACACCAAATTAAACAAGTTCAGCACTTAATTTGATATGATGTATATGGTTACATTTATTTATCCAATCTAAGAAGGTTTTCCACAATACTTGTACAAGTTCACATTCCCCCAAAAAGCTGTACAATAGTTTCATCATAACATTTGCAAAAAGAACAAAGTGTGGTATCAGAAATATTCATTTTAAACAACAAAGAATTAGTTGCAAGTATTCTATGTATGATTCAATACTGAAACCTGTTGCTTTAGAAGGCTTAATACAAATAATATTCCAATTCAATTTTCCAAACTGTAACTCCCACTTTTCCTGGCCTCTTGTTTTCATATCAACAAATACAAGAATATAATAAATATATTTAGAGCCTGTACTTTTAGAGAAGACCTTTTTAATAGCACAGCGATGTTCTTCTACAGTCAGTAGGGAGTTTAGTCAAATTCAAACTGGTCAAATATCTCTTAATACCACAAACAATACCATAAAAAGCCAAGAAAGTTGATTTTATCTTGTACATGTCTTTGAATTCTTC